GTTCAATTAAAACAACTTGTAGTTCAATGGTCTATTGTCGGAGTACAAAGTAAAGATCTGCGTATTGTTATCTTAGCGTCCACGCGGGGAAGCATTGAGGGAATTCTGCCAGCCCTAGTGCTGTTTCGGGTGGGCGGTGAAGAAATATATTTTTCCGGAGTCATGACCATCTGCCCGCAGTTATATCACGAAAAATGATCCATACTCGTTAACCTACATTAATTGACGTCCTATCACCACAAATATGTCACGTCGTGGGGCACCAAAGGGCAAGAAGCCCCCCCGGTACAGAGTTTACTTGGGATGCAGACCCAGGCGGAGAGCCAGACACAGCTCCAACACCGCTATACCCTGTATGTTTGCTTTTTAGCCTGGCTCTCTGGGAAATCTCACTCTTTTAATCCAACAATCTCCATCATGTCGAAATCTACAGGTTCTAACTTCCCATACCCCCAGAAATACACCGTTCCTTTTGCTCGGAAGTTGAGCCCCGCAGAACAAACCCGGGTAGACTACTACCGAGAGTTGCGCGAGAGCTTTCACGAGGGTCCCTACTACTCCGTTCTTGATGCGTCATCTTCCAGTGCCAAAAAAGGCAGCGCCGCGCGCGCCAACTTTGACGCTTTCCATGGCATGCCCACCTATTCCGGCCGTTATCAAAAGAAACGGCGCACACTCCCCAAGATCACCGGACGGTCTTATTGTAAGTTTACTACCAGCTTGGATTTTTCTATGGCTGCAGACGACTGACCCCGCATGCTCGGACTGTTCAGTCTTGAAATTCTTCCCCCGCGAGCTATGGCAAACCCTCCAGCCAAACTTCCGACCCGACGCATCCTTGGATGGCTACCAGGCGCAGGGCTCAGTCGCTGGAGTGAAGCGTGGTTTCGAAGATGAAGAAGATGAAGCTGGACCTGCGAAGCGCACAGCGGGCGGTGAAGACGAGGATGAAGGCGACGGAGATGAAGATGAAGCTGGATTGCTTGAAGGGGATGATGAGCAGGAAGAGGAAATCATGGATGACGACTTCTCCGAAGATGATGATGAAATGGGCGGCGATTACAATGCTGAACAGTACTTCGACGATGGAGAAGATGATATGGGTGATGAAGATGGTGGGGGCGGCGGCGGCGACGATGACTTCTGAAAAGCAGATTCACGATACCCTTTTTTATTTCAATTTAGCCTTTCTACGGCTCTTCAGCGGTCTGATCCATGCCTCTTTGGTATCTCCCTTGTATCCATTCAATACCACAGTGAATTATTCGGTCTGTTCAGCGCAGATAACTCTACGGTAACCCGGGCCATTAGCAAGCAAAATGAACACTTTGCATAGTATTGACCATCATACACATGTATACTCCAAGCAAAACAAGCAGTAAGAACTTGCAGCTTCTATATGCAAGACAGCCCTAGAGGGACTGCTGAGTTAACATGAGAACTGCTGAAGAGTAAAAGCTGGCCAATACGAGATATCTCGTTGTCTTATATCTACATCACCTCCCTGGGGTTACATCCCCTTGTCAATCTCCTTGGCGTACTTTTTATATGATCCCAGAGATATATTAATCCTCCTCAAATGCACATATATTCAAGACTCTTCAAACAACATTGGATGGATATCAACTCGGGTAGGCGGTAGATAGGGCGGTGGGGTAATTGATAAGATTGATTGGTTTTTGCGTGACGTCAGCCGATTTTCGGAGGGGCAAAGCAAGGACTGCTCAGACACTTCCACCTTAAAGCGCAGCATGAGTGACACCCAAAGTCCACGTCCCTTGGAACGGTCCGTGCTCATTCTATATGGCTCCGAAACGGGCAATGCGCAAGAGGTGGCCGAGGAATTGGGCTCCTTGACCGAGCGGCTCCGTTTTGCGACTCATGTATCTGAGTTGAATCAATGCAAGCCGGTATGTACTTATCTACAACGACAACGACCCTCTAGAGGCCTAATACCCATGGACTCTTAGGAATCCCTTTTCTTATATACACTCACCATATTTGTTGCCTCGACTACTGGACAAGGCGATTTTCCGGCCAATGCGCGGTCTTTTTGGAAATCGCTCTTGTTGAAAAAGCTACCTGCCACCTTTTTGAATGGCATAAATTTCACGTGCTTTGGACTGGGCGATAGCTCGTATCCCAAGTATGTAAACTATACCACTATTGTGTGTTTCAATGGCTGATTATAATAGATTCAATTGGGCAATACGCAAGCTATATAAACGACTATTACAGCTTGGTGCAAATGAGATCTATCCGACGGGCGAAGCAGACCAGCAACATCCGGAAGGGTCAGTACTTTTTTGATCCTCACGCTAGATATTTGTTCACGACTTACATGGCTTGACCCATAGGCTTGAGGGGACCTTCCTACCATGGATGACAGACTTTCGAAAACATTTGCTGGATAGACATCCTCTTCCTGATGGACAGCACCCGATTCCAGACGATGTGCAGCTCCCTCCAAAGTGGGAATTGCAATTAACGGGAGAGAATGATTCCGTCCCAATACCCCAAGCTGCCGTTGCAAATGAACATGAAGCTTCTGCGGATGAATATCCGGGACTACACCACCTGGACCATGACTGCCGACCCATCCCACATACACTATGTGCGACATTAACTGAAAATCGGCGCGTGACTCCGCAAAAGCATTGGCAGGATGTGCGCCATATCACCCTGACCGTCCCAGACTCTGTCTCTTACGTCCCTGGAGACATGATCGCCATCACACCGAAAAGCTCTGTGATTGATGTCCAAACCCTTATTGACTTAATGGGTTGGAACGACCAGGCGGATCGTCCAATCTGTCTTGTTCCAACAGGAGATATTCCATCACCACCACCTATCCCTGGTCTCGACTCATATCCCAATCTAACTCTTCGTGCCCTCCTCGTAGACTATCTCGATATCAAAGGGATACCCCGTCGATCCTTCTTCTCCACAATCGCCCACTACACCAGCGATGAAATGCACAAAGAACGGTTACTAGAATTTACAAATCCGGAATATCTCGACGAGCTATGGGATTACACGACACGCCCACGGCGTAGCATACTTGAGATCCTGCATGAGTTCGATACTGTCAAAATTCCTTGGCAACACGCAGTATCTGTTATCCCAGCCATGCGCGCCCGCCAGTTTAGCATTGCCAGTGGCGGAAAACGCAAGCAGACTGCTGATGGCAACACACAATTCGAACTACTCATTGCCATTGTCAAATACCAGACAGTGATCAAGCGAATCCGCGAGGGAGTCTGTACTAAATATCTCTCCATCCTCCGGCCAGGTAGCACCCTCCAAATCCAGCTGCAGCCCGGGGGCCTCAAATCTTCAGTCCAGCAACTGACCGCAGCAACCGTGCTTATTGGACCGGGCACTGGAATTGCACCCCTTCGCTCTATGATTTGGGAGAAAGCGGCACTTGTGCAGGCTTACCGCGAACAAAACCCTGGCGTCAATCCACCAATTGGCCCTACCATTCTCCTGTATGGAGGCCGAAACCGAGAGTCCGACTTCTTCTTCGAGAAAGAGTGGACGGAGCTCAGCAAGCTCATCCCGCTACAGGTACTTACTGCTTTTTCGCGTGATCAGCAACGCAAGGTCTACGTGCAAGACACCGTGCGCGAGAACTTCCCGCTCTTCTTCCGCGTGTTGCATGATATGCAGGGGTCAGTTTACATTTGTGGTTCCTCGGGCCGCATGCCTCAAGCTGTACGCGAGGCGCTCATTGAAGCCTTCCAGCATGGAGGAGCTCCTTCATCAGGGCAGCCTTTCACCCGTTCCCAGGCTGAGGGCTATCTCGTTGGCATGGAACAAATCGGCCGCTACAAACAAGAAACGTGGTGATCGGTGTGAGTGTTTGGTTTTCATCATAGCGGAATATGAGATATTTCTATCTATGTGTGGAGAATCTATGGGTGGAGAGTAGGAGTTAAAATATGTATATTACTCCGACCCAAAATAGGTTGTACCGAAGTCTAGATAATCAACAACCTTTACGACATCAGGTAGATTTCTTTTCTATCAAAACAAATCAGGCACCACATGGGGTAAATCCCGTTTGTAGATAGCTAGATTGCTCTGTCCCCGCGTTCTCTCCCTTCTTCTCTTTGTCCCTTTGCTCCCATTCGAATCATACAGCATTGCTTCTCCGTTTCGGATCTCCACTGTAGTACATTTTCATCAATATCTCTTGCAAGAATGATACTTGAAAATGTCAAATTTAAATTGTAGAAATGTCTAATATCTTCATACATAAAGAATTTCATGTTTATAGGCTTCTTCTTCTTCTTCTTCTTCTTCTTCTTCTTCTTCTTCTTCTTCTTCTTCTTCTTCTTCTTCTTCTTCTTCTTCTTCTTCTTCTTCTTCTTCTTCTTCTTCTTCTTCTTCTTCTTCTTCTTCTTCTTCTTCTTCTTCTTCTTCTTCTTCCTCTTCCTCCTCCTCCTCCTCCTCCTACTACTCTATACATCCAGGAACCCCTCAGCTGGTCATTTAATTTATTGTTCAATGATTTGCTTGATCGATTTGATGTCCATATCACCTGGGCAATAGAAACCACGCGAGCTTTTTAGATTGCTTTGGGATGTCTTATCTCATTTTTCACCATGTAAGGTCACTGTTAGCTCTCAGGCTCGATGAGACTCGGGTTCGGTAGGGCCGAAACTAAACATCCGAGTATACCCCGCAGATATAACGACGTCCCCCACATACCCCGGATTACTTGCCCGGTTCCGCCGAATAAAGGGATTTTCCATGATCATGAGGGTACATATCCGAGTCGTTGTCTCATCGAAGTTGGACTAATCACTTCATCACTACTGGCACGTAATGTGTGTACCAGGTGATAACTTCTTTGTTTATGGTGTTTTGCCACGTTTACATCCAGAGTCAAGCCTACTATATTACATAGAAGATCTTCATTCGTGTTCAAAATTTAGCTCATTGATTAGTCACAGCAATAGCCTATATAAAAATGACCGGCTTCAATCAAACAGCTAGTATACATATCTGAATTGATGCATTTCCCTGTCCGTCTTATCCGTCAGGTTTAGGGAAGCCAAGACTGCAGGGTCAATGTCTTCCTCGAAATCGTCCGAGGGAATATGAATGTTGTCTCGCTTCTTATTCTCCCAGATGCAGTAGAATCGTAGCAACATACTAAGAATTGCAGAGCAAGCGAAGCAAACGACCATTCCCGCAAATCCAGAGGAATAACTGGGTGCTTCTCGAGCGAACATGATCTGGGGCCCGACAATGTTGCCGGCGCAGTATGCGATGAAAACCTAGAAAAATGAGATGTCAAAAAGAGGCCCTCAAGTTGAACAAAGTGAAGAGACTCACGATTGCTGTGACAGTGGACTTTTTGGTAAATCCAGCTGTGTTACTTGTGATCATTGCCAACGTAAGAGGAAAATTGGCCGAGAAAGCAATGATAAGACAGTACCCCATGAAGCGAGACCAAATATAGTCGGGATTGATCTGTCGAATCATGACTGTGCCAATCAGGGCCATTATAGTGTTGAATGTCATCCAATATGTACGGGTGTTTTTCAGATAGGTGCTGCCGATGGCCGAAATTATGACGAAAACGATTTGGAATCCGGTGCCAATCATTTGGACAAGAAGAGTATCAAGTGTGGTGAAACCGAATCCTTCGACAACAATCGATGCGAACTAATGAAAGGTCAGGTTAGAGATGATTCCACCATGCAAATGAGCTTCGTGGAAGGAAAAAAGAAAATAAAAGAAAGCATACCGAACCAACACCGCCGTTGGGCACATTTTGCGTAAATTGAAACAACGCAAGAAGCCAAGTCTTTGGATCAAGCAGAGCTTCGATAACTTGATAACGCTTGATATTATGACTTTTGATTCCAGTTAGGTTATCCTTGACACGCTCCACGGCCTTGACTTGGTCTTCAATTGGAAGAAACCATGCGCCCATAGGGCTGTCGGGAATTGCGAACCAGCAAATCACCGACCAAAGCAAGGTAATGCCTCCAAAAAGTATAAAGAGTGCCTACAAAGGATAATGCTATTAGTGTCTTGACCTTTGAAGTAGACGATTGCGACATTTCTTACCTTCCATGGTGCAATGCCATCTATGTGCCCGACACCATATCCCAGCAGACCACCAACTAGACCTCCAATAACATTTCCCATAAACCATGCGGACTGCCGAATGGGCTGCTCGGATCTCTTATACCACATAGATATAATAACACTCATAGAAGGAGCGATAGTTGACTCAACGAACCCCAGGAAGAAGCGCGCGGCCCACAACCCATTGGCATTTTTGCACAGGACAGTCAACATAAGAATAGCCGCCCAGACTCCCCTGTTTTTTTCATGAATATATCAGTCTCATGCTTTGGTTTGAGGAATCAATACACTTACATAGCTGCCGACATGAAGCGGCCAACAGGCAAACGAATGATCAATAAAGCCACAATCCCTGAGGCGACCATATATCCGAAATAAAACAGACTAGAAGCCCAAGAATAGTCTTGGCCTACGAGGTGCATGTCTGTTCGGAGGCCCAGAATGGCGCTATATCCCATAGCCTGTTTGTCGAGATACTGCAACAGGTACGAGAGGAAAAGCACGGGAATTAAGCTGGTCATAAATTGGTAAGAGTCCGAGATTCTTGTGGAGGATAATATAGGAAATGTAGATACCAGATGTCAATTCTGCGAAGAATGCGACGGTCATCTTCGGGAGACAAAGGCGTGCCCAGTTGAGACTGGTAGTTCTCCAGTGCCTGAAGGGTGTCATCGGCATCCTCGATGTTGACTTTGGAGATATCCTTTGTATCATTGGAAGTGACACCCGGGACTGGCTCATCAAAACGAGTCATTATGAGAGGCAAAATAGAATTTCGAGTTCCCTAACTGTATGTTATCAAGAAAGGCGGCAGATTTGTTTATAGTCTGGGCCTACGTGAGCGCATACCCCACGGCTTTATACCCCATAAAGACCATTGGCATCTCATGACCATGCCCATCCAGAGTCCAGAGGTTATTTGGTTCGGAAACCGCACCTTGGCATTTTACACTTCCTATCTTCCACTTTTCTTATCTCCATTCGGCTTCGGTAGGGCCGAATGCCGAAGCCGTTCAGGAAAGACTGCATCTACTCGCTTCGAGAAAAATGGCGTTCGGATAAAAGTAATTTATATTAGTCGCAAGAAGTAAAACCTTTCCTCCGCGAGAATACGAGGGCAGAATCATTACATTCCTGACCACTGTCGAAAAAGGACAGTATCAAAACCATGTCTACTACTACGACCTTGTCCTCTCTCAATCAAACCCTACCGGAGCCTCAAAATGCACTGTAAGTTTCTCTGCATTCTTCTCCTTCAAGGATGTTTGCTGACTTTGATTGGGTTTGCAGTGCTGGTGCAAAAACTGGTGACTGGCTCGCCGAACTTCGTGATAATGGGTTCGCAGTGATCAAAAACGCAATCCCACAGGATCGGGCCATCGCCTACCAACAAAAAGCTCGTGAGTGGTTGAAGTCATTCGGGAACGATGAGCTGGACTATGAAAACCCAGACACTTGGTTGGCCAAGAACCTCCCTGTCCAGAGCACAATCAACACCTTCAGTGCCTATGCAGTCGCCCATGAAAAGTTCATGTGGGATGCACGCATGGAGACAGGGGTAATTGAAGCCTTTTCCAAAATCTGGGGTACTGAAGAACTACTGGTTAGCTTTGACAGTCTGAATGTCACTTTCCCAAACCGCAAGGATGTCCCACGGAAGGGTGCCTGGGAACATGTGGACCAGAGTCCCTTCCGACGCGGTATGCATTGTGTCCAAGGAATTATAAATCTCTCTATAGCTGGTCCAGATGATGGAGGACTTGTAGTCTACCCTGGGTCCCACCGTCTGGTGGATGAGTTCTTTGATACTGAAACGGACCCTGCGACATGGTCAACCAAAGATCTGTACTGGCTTGACCAGACAAAGCTCGACTGGTTCAAAGCAAGAGGATGTTCGCCAATCAAGGTCTGCGCGGATATTGGAGATTTGATTGTGTGGGATAGCCGCACTATCCATTATGGCAGCGAGCCAGCTGAGACCAGCCAAACCATCCGTACTATTATATATGCTGCCTATTCTCCTGCAAAGTTTGCATCCCCGGAAACTTTGCAGTGCAAATCAGAGGTATTCTCTAAGTATGGAGGTACTACGCATTGGCCTCATGATAACGTCGTTGTTCGCAAAACTTGTGCCATGCTTCCTGATGGAACTAGAGACCCGAGGGATCGCAAGGAGCCCCTTGAGCCTCCCCAAATCAGTGACCGGTTACTGAAACTTGCCGGAGTGAAGCCATATTAGACCCATTTTGATACTTGGGATATCATATGTGCCTATAAATTAGCAGTAGCTAGCCCTGCGTTTGTGCTTTTCTCCTCTAGTTTATCTAATTAATTTCTCTATGCAATCTGTTAATTTCGGTGGTCTTACCTATAGTTAACAACAACCCAGCGCCAAAGATTGGATCTTTTTTATATATAAGACGTAGCACGGTTGGGCGAGTGTTCTAGTGCGATTAACTAGAACCCAATTCCCTTCGCAGGCTCAACATGCAGCCGCCGTTTTCTTTCTTTTCTCTTTCTTTTCTGGCTGTTTTCAGATCATCCTAATTTTTCTCTATGAGTTCAGGAATAGCTGGAGAATGATCTCTTGTTTTTGAATATATAATGGAGAGAATAACAGTCTGGGGGGGAATGAATCAACATGCCCGGTAGCTCACTAAAAACAACAGGAAAGACATGTATTAGAGCTAGGCTTTGATACAGCTATACATTTTATGACCTTGCCATCCAATTAAAGCAGGCCACTGTTCTAGCCTGGTTAGTCTTGTCAAATGCAAAACAATATTCATTATCACAATATGTAGGCTGTATGGTTAACCTCGGCAGGTTCGGTGGTGTGAATACGGCTAAAAATTGCGGCCATCAGCAACCCAATATCACTTCCAGAGCTAATTACCGTCCTGTTGTTTTCTTCTCATTCTTTAGACAACTTGCTTGTGACTTTGAACCCCTGTTATTTGCTTGCTTTATTTCCCTCTTGTATCTTCGGGTACAGTTCCACTCCTTCTAACTAGTACATAAGTTATGTATAGACACAATGTACATACGGTTTCAAGCAACTGCTGGTAGGGTAGACAACTTGGAGCTGCACTTAAACAAAATCAGGCTTCAGCAACACAAATCCCAAAGGGATCCTTGATGCATGTAAAATGTACTTGCTCCGACCCCAAGCGCTTGTTATCATGATGGCCGCAAAAGTTGACGGTACCGTGAGGAGTCCGTGGTGCGACGAGGGTTAAACTCGGGCCGCGTCGGCGTTTTCAATTTCTTGGCACTCCGTCACCGCACGCTTTCTTCCTCCGAGCCTCCAAACTTCCTTACATCAACTCAGGAATTGGCCGTTGCTCGACTACTGAATTACACAAAATGAGTGGCCTAAGGATATTGGTACCCGTCAAGCGCGTGATCGACTATGCGGTAAGTCAAATGCCAATTCAACTATGGCCCCTCCAAGTGCAGCTTCGGGCGACCGATGCTCGGAGCTGTACCTTTCAACCAACAGGGTCTCCATGACCCCCACCACTCACCCTGGAATTGGGATATCACGACTGACGCAAACCTTTGAATCTAATAGATCAAGCCCCGCATCAACAAAGCCCAGACCGGTGTCGAAACCGCCGGTGTCAAGCACTCTCTGAACCCATTTGACGAGCTCTCAATCGAAGAGGCCGTCCGCCTTCGCGAGCGCAAGGGCCCCATTAAGGTCGAAGATATCCTCGCACTTTCCGCCGGTGGCCCGAAATGCCCTGACGTCCTCCGCACCGCCATGGCCATGGGCGCTGATCGAGCCTTCCACATCGACGTACCGGAAAAGGGTGACGGTGGCCCGGAGCCACTGACCATCGCCAAGATGCTGCAGGCCGTTGTTAAGGAGCAGAATGTGAACCTCGTGTTGCTCGGCAAGCAGGCTATTGACGGTGACCAGGGTCAGACTGGTCAGATGCTTGCTGGTCTCCTTGGGTGGCCCCAGGCTACGCAGGCCAGCAAAGTTGACATTAAGGATGAGGCTGGTACCGTTGAGATTACCCACGAGGTCGACGGTGGTGTTGAGACTCTCCGCGCCAAGTTGCCTATGGTTATTACTACGGATCTGCGGTTGAACGAGCCGCGGTACGCTAGCTTGCCCAACATTATGAAGGCCAAGAAGAAGCCCCTTGAGAAGAAGACTCTTGCCGATCTCGGTGTCGAAGATACACGGCGGTTGAAGACTCTGAAGGTTACAGGTATGTGCTTCTTGTGGTTCTGCTATTTCGTTCGTGGGATTGTGCTAATGTTCTGTAGAACCCGCGCCACGAAAGGGTGGTGGCAAGGTCGAGGATGTCGATGGCCTTGTCTCCAAGCTTAAGGAGCTGGGTGCGCTGTAAATGCGCTAAGCCTGTTCTTGATTACCCTGATTTTCTATACCACCGCATTTGAAATGTTACCCACTAGGTTTGGATTCGTCTTGTGCATTTCTCCCACATTTTCTGATGGCCATGCTATGTGGCGAGGCATGTGTGCATGTATTGGATGCTAGATCTTTATATAAACGAAAAACATATCCTTTATAATTGATAGTGTGTACTAGGTCCACTAGTTCCAACCGGTTGGCATGTTCGATTAGGGACCCTTTTCTGTAAGCACGTAGTCATAGTCCGCAGAAGGCCACACTACTGCAACATCGTGGGTCATAATCCGCCACAGCGGCGCTAGAGTGGCTAGATCTCGTCTGTGGTTGAGGAAGTATGTACGAAGTAATAGCCACCCCGTATAGGGATGGCCATATGTATCGTTCTTCCCGACCTAACCTTGGAAGGGTTATTTATTGAAAGCTGGCAAAACTAACCAATCGGAACTCTACAGCGCCCAAGTTGCATCTCAGCCCGAGACAATACTTCCATTCTCAGCCACAGGACCCAACTCTCCCCGATTGGTGATGAAATGTTCCGAGAGCCTCACAGGTAGAAGACCTTTTTTTTTTTTAATGATTGATTAGCACTGCAAAAGCACCTAGTAGGTACATAAAAATATGGTGCATAATTGTTGAATTTCCCCATCGGGCCAAGTACATTAGTGTAGATGTGTTCTGAGAGCAGTATAGAAAACGATCTTGCATTATTATATTCCGCAGCCTGGGATACACCGGATTATGCGCTGGCAATCAGCTGAAAAGATATTCAATGTCAAATTACTCTTCCGTGCGGAGTAGAGGGAAAACCGAGCCGACGGATGCGTACATTGCCTATAGCGTGGTCGATCTGTTCAGCCTAGGTTGAGCTGTCATCTGAGGGACCCACTGGGGCTTGAAGATGCACCAAGATCAAAGGAATAGTTAAATTAACAATAGCAATGTGTTTCGTTTCATGTTTATATTTTTTTTTCTAAGCACGGAATACTAAGTAAATATGTAAAAAAGGAAAAGTCTAAAGAAATACCTGGACACGCGTTCTAGCCCTGGAGGGCTTTTTAAATTTTCCAGGTGGGGTTGCGAGGTATGTGATTATCTGGACTGGTCATTTCTGAGAGTTGGTACAAGAGCTCAGATATTATTCCAAATGACATAGGCAATAATATCAATAGGTTCAAATGTCTATATACTATATACAATAGTACGGAGTACACCGGATAGATTATGTATATACATCCATACATACACAGTAATAGCATAAAGAGAAAAAAAAACCGACAAATTAAAAAAAACCGAAAAAAAACCAGCTGATCCATGGATGATGACATTGCCTCTCCGAACCTTGGAACCATGGGAAGCCATTTAACGCTGTTTTGGTCCAGACCTTCCAAGGTTAAATATTCAAATCCCTTTCCGTCTGACCCGGATTGGAAATCGTTTTCTATTTCTTCTCTTCATTTCCTTCTATAATCTCTAATCTCTTATTTCTTTCCATATTTCGTATAAAGTTTCCACATTCCTCCCCGCATTCCTGGGTTACGCAGATCTTACCAAATCCCTCCATACATTCCCGATCTAAGAATCTGTCGCGATTCTGCTGTTCGCGGCGCAAGTCGTGTTTCAGTGGTGTATAGAAACCGTCTTGATCAGCCTTTCGCGGCGCAAAGCGCATCCAACTTCTTGATCCTTCTTCAATTACCCTACAATAACTTTTAAAGTCTCTTCTACCTGGCAGCTATCTCTTCTGTCTGGCAGCCACCATGCCTCCAAATCGGTGGGAGAAGACCAAAAGCATTTCAAAAAAAGGCTTCGACAAAGCATGGGATACCGTCGACAAACTCGGCGGCCCTGTTAATCGCCTATCGCACAAGCTGGGCGCCGAAGCCTTCTGGCCCATGACACTCGACAAGGAAGCCGACAAAGCCGCGCGCATCCTACGCAGCTTCTGCAAAGACGGCTTCTATGCCCCCGATTCCACAACCGGCGTCGACGAGAATGGGAAGATCAATCGCCCCAAGGGCAAGCAACGCGTTATCCAGAAAATCCCAACAAAAGTCCTCAAAAATGCCAAGGGAGTCGCGATATTCACGACCATGCGCACAGGTCTATGGATGAGTGGCTCTGGCGGTAGTGGCGTGCTGATCGGTCGCCTTCCCGAGACTGGCGCGTGGAGCCCGCCATCTGGTATTATGCTACACACAGCCGGGATAGGATTTCTCGCCGGAGTCGACATCTATGATTGCGTGGTAGTCATCAACACCTATGAGGCGCTGGAAGCATTCAAGAAATTCCGTTGCACGCTCGGCGGCGAGGTCAGCGCAGCCGCGGGACCCGTAGGTATCGGTGGAGTCCTCGAATCCGAAGTGCACAAACGCCAAGCACCAATTTGGACATATATGAAGAGCAAAGGCCTGTACGCAGGTGTTGCCGTCGATGGCACAATCATTATCGAGCGAACTGACGAGAACGAGCGCTTCTACGGCGAGCGGATATCTGTCGACGAGATTCTATCCGGCAAAGTCCGGCATCCACCCCACGAGCTGCAAACCCTCATGCAAACCCTAAAGGCCGCACAGGGCGACTCTGACGTCGACGAAAGTCTTGTTCCGCCTCCAGGCGAAACACCTGGCGATGTGGAGTTGGCGGAAGAGGGACAACATTTCGGCGTGCCGGCTGTGGACGATCCCGATCCGTATGGAGTGAAGGCGCTGGAGGCGGAGGGGCTTTTCATCCGCGAGGCCGGCACAAAGGTGAGACCAAGCTATGAGACATTTGAATTCCGGCCGAACCTGGACAGTCCTATTTATAGCACTTTCTCTCGGCGCAGCATGGATAGCTCGCCGCGCAATAGTTGGCGCGCGAGTGTGCAGAGCACCAAGAGCTATGCTAGTGTTGATCGTGGCACGCAAACCGATGACGCCTCGCTAACTGAGCACACATCAGTGAGCCGTGCATCTTCTCGCAGCACAAAGGGGTCGTCTATTGGCCGTCCACCGATGAATACCTGGATTGAAAATGATGACCCTCACTGGGATACGATTGCTATCCATGGCAACGAAGAGCATGTGAAGGTCCGCCAGCTGGAGGGCGATGAAGCCGAGGATAGGAGAGCGAAAGCGAATGCCTGCGAAGATGCACACGAGGACCCCGAGTTTGAGGATGACGACGAGCACTATGAGGTCCACGAGGTTGGCAATGCCACTGTCACACCAAGGGATAGTATCCCGCCCTCGCCCACAAAGGTGGAGGGCCAGACGACAAACCGTGACACCAAGCCTACCTCGCCGAGCTTCACCCGGGCTCGCCTGGTCACAATCCCCGCGCGCACCCCACCCGCCTTGCCTCCGCGACACCCACGTCACATCCCAACCTCTGGTTCAAGCCGTGCCTCAACATCTCCTACCGCGCTCTCGTATTCAAGCATTAACACCTCACCCACGGACGTCACTGAGGCGGCGGAGAATCTCGAGCAGTTGGATGAATCCCCACACACACTTCCATCCCAGGAGAAGGCCAAGTCCTCTCCTGGTGTTCCCGCCATGAGCGACGATGAAGAGTTTGTTGACACCAAGTCGGAGATTGAGGATAACGTCATTACCCTCGAAGACCACACTGCCACCGAGACCGCCGATGCCGCCGAGCAGGAGATGAAGGCGGGCAAAGAAGACGAGAAGGAAGTTGAGCCCGAGCAATCTCCTCGACTCGAAAAGTCTCCCGATGTCCCCAAGCTTGCACCTAACATCGAGGATACCCCGGAGGTCGAAGAGACCCTCGACAAGATCGAAGCTAAGCTCGAAGCTGATATCGAGCAACCCGAAGGGCAGAAGTCTGGAAAGTCATATTCACACATCCTTGCTGATGGCGAAGAACACGAAGAGTCCCCCGGTGGGACTAAAATCGATACCGCCGATACCACCTTGCCCCATGCCAGGGCTGAGTGATCTGTCTTTGATTTACAAATGTTTTTTTCTGCTTCCTCTTTGCGCTTGCCTCGGCTTTTTCGTTTCCACATTTTTCTCGAAACACACCTTGTCACGATACCTCATTCGCGTTTTATACACATCCGACTCATTTGGAGTTCTGTCATCCAGGCTCCGCCTTCTTTTTATCTGTCTTCTATCCCCATCTCTCCCCTCCAGAAAAAGGGTTTCATGTTGTTGGTCTGCTGTCATTGATTTTAGCGTCTGCATCTTAGCGAGTTGGGGGTATCTGTATTTTTTTCCTGGATCAGGTCAATGGGGAAGTTTTTTGGGTTCTTTGCTCTTTATTGGGAGAGCTTTCGCTCGAGTTGCATTATATCCTGTTTCCCGGTCTTGGAACACACTCGTTCATATATCCATGGATTGTTCTTTTGGCTTTTATCTTCGGCTTTAGTCAATTAAATTTCATATACACCAATAATTACCCCATGCAAGTCTATCAAATGGTTCTAGTAGTATGTCTCACCTGAAGATTATCCCAAGGTACATGCGCTGCCTTGGTGCCTTGGTGCCTGCAGCTTTAGGCCGCAACGATGATTCACGTCCCTCTTTCGAGCCTCACAGTTCTTGGGAGTACACACATATGTAGAACTTTAGCATGATGTATTTTAGCCTTTCAGATCTAATTACAGATATGTTAAAAGAGAGAAAAGCCTCTTGATGTACATGCAAATGGCGATATCACGCTACTAGGGCTGGTCTCATAGTGGGGATTTATATAAAGTTAAGGTTATGCCAGGCAGTAACCCGGGTAGTGCAGTAGTTAAGAGCGATGTCAAACTTGCAAGGTTGTCATCTTAATGAAGCAAAGCCTGGGTTCGATTCCCCTTGGAACCAAAGTTCGCGGTCTGATGGTCATCTTGGCGATGTACTGCTGGGAATCCTCCTCTTCTTCTTTTTCCCCTTTTCTTTTTACAATATCCTATAAGATAGGAAACGAGATAATGAAATTATAGGTCGTTTCCTAAGTAGGTACTCTTGCACCTGGGCATATTATTTGGCTGGGGTAATGCGATCAGCACGTAACAACAACTACCGGTAAGCTAAGCTATACAACTTTGCTTTTTATGTGCGACTCTCTTGCTCTAATATCCTACTTAGGGAGAGAAAAATCGGAACCACTGTAGAGGCAGATTTGCAGATTCAAGGCGCAGTACTATAGAGCAGTTGATGCACCATGATCCCAATTGACTCGTTGTATCTTGGTACGCCAATTTATCGTTATCGAAATAACGCCCACCGGTATCGTCAGTAAAAGACCAACTAGTAGACGGCTTGCATCATGAGATATTCTAACGGGTACTAATCAAATATGTCTGGGACGAGTTCGACAACTCTCTCGTTTTCGCTTTGTGCGTTGGGGAACTAGGTCTATTGAGAGTCTTATAACATAATGTTACTTCAAGCTTTCTAGTCCGACCTGTTGTTGGCATACTGTTGCCATTGAGGCATTGTTGTCATGAGATGGGAAAATACCCCTAAGTAATAGACCTCTCATCACCTATAACTTTGCGAATCTACTATCCTTTTCTACCGAGAAAGGAAAATAGGACGTAGTTCTTCTACATATAGCTCTTGGAGTAACCTAAGATCCCTTGTGATTTAGTATTGACTTCATTGACGACTCACCTCGTCATTGTTGCAGACAATTTGCGAGAATTCAGAAAAACATAAAATTCTCCTCCTGGGAAAAGGTGAGGTGACCGGCTTGCGTTCCTACATGTATTTATATGAAGTGGTATATAGGTTGTTTGCTTTACTTTTCTTTGCTTCTCTTCTTAACCATCCCTCTCCTCATTCATCCCTTCTCATCTATCCCAGAAATTACACCTCGCTGCTTAACTCTCTTACTTCGTTACCTTTGCAAACCTTCTATGCGATATCATTCTGAGAGATCCTCGACCACTTTCTTGCTTCAGCCTTACCGATTACGACCCCAAGCGAATATTCCAGGTTGTTCGCTTGGAGATGCGTCAAAAAAGAACCGAAATGGCACCAAATTACGGGAACTCGGAAGACAATGTCACAAAGTAAGAATTAAGGCTGAAATTATTTGGCTACTTTTACTAATAATAATTTGCTTTAGAATTCAAGGGCCAGCAGTGAAAATCACAGTCGGGGCCTCAAAGGAACCTTTCCACGTCCACGAATCAGTACTCTGTACTTCTTCTCGCTTTTTCAATGCCGCCATGTCAGGCTCGTGGAAGGAATCCAAGGAGTACACCATTGAACTCCCCGAAGATGACCCCGCGGCATTTTCTATCTATTCGCACTGGCTTTACTTTGCGAAAATCCCAGGAATCCTTCATGCGGCAAAAAAGGGGGAATCGGCAAAAAGGTCTGCCCAGGAGTACTATGATCTCGTGAGTGCATATGTGCTCGGTGACAAGTTGCTCGACACCCAGTTTCAAAATTCGGTCATCGATGCAATCCTCGATACATGCTCTAAAGCTGATTCGAAGGATGGAAAGGTGTACTTTCCTGACGCAAATGCTGTCAGTCATGCATACAACAATACGACCAAGTCCTCTAAAATCCGCGAGATTCTTGTCGAACTATATCTGCACTCTGCAGAAGCCCGATGGTTATCCGAAGAACATCCGAAGGAATTTCTTTTCTCAATTGCGGAAGGTTTTGCGGAGAGAAGAAAACTCCGTAGCGTCAAGTCACTCATAAGATACGGATATTATGTGAATTCGGAAGCGGTGAGGCAAAGTTTGAAGCGAAAGCTCTCTGACTAAGAGAGTCTTGAGTACGTAGGCACCGAAGCCTAGTCGCAGTGTCTTTAGGGTTATTCCAGTTGTGGCAATGTGCCCGATCTCTACCGTCTTTCCTAACAGCAGTCCTCTTCCAGTTTTGTTAGGAAAGACCACTATTTTAGCATGGGAATGAGATACCTGATGGTCAAGTTTTATTCGTTTTATTCTTTAGAAATCTGTAGCAGATATATTTGCTTTCTAGGACAGACATTTTTATCAGACCCATGGAGCTACACATGGACAGCTGAGTGTGTGATTGAATTCCGAACACCTTACTTAAGAATCGAGTTCACCATGAATTTTAACGTTTTTTTGCCTTTAGCTAGCCTATAAGGCAAAGCTACCTTCTTATGTCCTAGTTCCTGATATGGCTTGGTTTGCGGTGTTGGTACTACTGGAGTTCAGGTATTGGATCATCTGTTCTCAACAGACATGGACAGGAGGGCTCAGCAAGCAGAGAAGTGACATCAGATTTTGAGTGGTACATATGTATAGCTGACTGCATTGCTAAAGCTGTTTTCGGTTGTGAATTCTTCGGTTATTATAGGAAAGTCTTTTATAAGTGAAAGAAATTCCAAAGAAACCGAAACATATACATTTTTTAGATAACTAATATTTAATTAGAGAATGAAATATAAGTCTGAGCTTATAGGAGAAAACGGCTAGAAGCAATGGCAAAATTAAGTCAGTGTGTGGCACCATTTCCCAAGAAGATAAATACTGAAGGGTTTGGTAATATGTGACAGAATTAGGTTCCTACTACACATAGTAGTGCTCTACTTTTCTTTCCTCTTTGTGACTGTCCCTCTCAGTATCTACCTCCTCTCACCATCAGCACCAGAGATCCTGCCTCTGTATTCGATCCCCCGTCTACGTAACCTTCACAACCCTTTTATACGGCATCACAGCCCAAGAGAATCTCGAGCACTCCCTCACTTCATCTTTACCAATTCGGTCTTACCGAGCTAGTGTTCCTGGTCTCTTGAAAATACCTGAAACAAAAAGGCAAAAAGGTTCAAATTTCCGTGCGATGCCTGCAAGACGATACCAAGAAGTAAGTATCATGGCTGATATTGTCTGTTTGCTACTGCTAATTTGACCCGGAATTTAGGGACCAATACTAACGATCATCGTTGGGGCCTCAAAGGAGCCCTTTCACGTCCACGAATCAATAATCTGCAATTATTCCCTCTTTTTCAAAAAGGCAATGTCAGGGTCGTGGAAGGAATCGAAGAAGCATACTATTGATCTCCCGGAAGATGACCCCCAGGTGTTCGCTCTCTATTCACACTGGCTCTACTTTTTCAAAATCCCCGTGCTCGTTGAACGTGTAGCAAAGAATGAAATTGCCAGAGAACTCTGCCCGGGAGTACAATGATCTCGTTAAGGCATATGTGATTGGTGATAAGTTGCTCAATACAAACTTTCAGAATTCGGTTATCGACGCAATTATCGAAAAGTCCACCATAGCCAATGCAGATGGACAGCGCTACTATCCCGGTGAAGAAGCGGTCAAGCATGTATACCACAATACGACCAAGTCTGCCGCAATTCGCAGACTGTTCGTAGATATGTATGTGGACACTGCGGTTCCCAACTGGCTCCATGGTGAACTTCCAAAGGAATTTCTTTATTTGGTTGCTGAAGGTCTCATGAAGAAAAAGAAAAGAGTCTCCTCTTGTAACCCAATCAAAGCATCCAAGTATCATGTGAAACCCTCGAGCAATTGAGAGAGCCTTACCCAGGCCTCTCTGTAGCTACTCGAGTGCGAGAATGTTACCAATCTCCGCCGGGCTTCCCTCAATTCCCCCATCTTCCAACTTTGTTATGAACGAGCTCTGCTTAGATCTGCTTTCAGGGTCACAGGTATCTATCATACTTCTGGGTCTGCATGTGGAGAGCTGAGTGTGTAACCGACCTTCGAGCGATTTCCCCTTGAGGATGGAGTTTAGTAGCCAGATAGAAATTATCTCAAGAATATTTTTTGATAATGGCTGGTTAGATCAGGCTCCAGGGCTTACACCCAGAAACTCCTACTCAGTACTCCGTAATTACAATTATGGTCCTAGGTAGTTTGGTTTAGATTGCCGGCCAACCCCGCCACGCTAAAATGTTCGGTAGTACAGACTTGGGTTAGTTAGTCTCCGTATGCTCCAAAACTAAGAAGCCGAAAAAAAGCGGCACTTGGACATGGACTATCACAATATCGGTGTCTAGTCCGATACTGTTGCGGTCAAACATCAAATATGGATTAGGGCCATGTACCGTAGCCACTGGTGTATGCTAACCATCTTCCTATTGGCGTTGCCAAGCACCCCATCTTCTATCTAGCGTGCCGCTGCCACTGTGTCAGTGCGCTAGTTTTTTTTTGTCAGCTTCGTATTTTCGTCAGGGACGGGCCATTCAAAACAAGTTCAATTCAGCCAATAGCCCTTCGAAGATTCTAAATCGACCGAGTTGATATTTATTTTGTCACTGTTTGCGGCGAAACCGGAAATTATAGTCCATATGGCGTATCATTACTCCGTATTTCTCGCTACAATAACAGCACTAATTCTTGGGGAATCTGACATGCTTTCTTTTGCAATTTTTTCCTTTCAAAAATTTTATCTTTGCTGAGCAACTCTGGAACATGGCTGGTCTATTAGCACTGGGAATATGTGGGTTGGTGATATACATCACCGTCAAAAGCATCTATCGGCTATATTTCCACCCTCTCAGCAAAATTCCCGGACCAAAACTTGCTGCTATCACAAGCGGCTATGAATTTTATTTCAATGTAATCAAGGGCGGGATGTTCGTCTGGGAGATCGAGCGGCTACATGAGATATACGGTCAGTTCTACCAGTCATATGCAGTATCACCAGTCTGATTTTTCGTTAGGGCCCATTATCCGCATTACCCCTCTTGAGGTACATATCAAGGACTCAAACTATTACGATGAGATATACACCTCTAGCAAACGCATCCGAGAAAAGGCCGCTGTGTTGGTGGCTCGATTCGATCTCAAGGATACGGCATTTGCTAGTATCTCCCCAGAAGATCACCGGAAGCGGCGCTCACATATTGAGAAACACTTTTCAAAGCAGGCGGTCTCCAACATAGAGCATTTGATATATGAGAATATTGACAAACTCGAGAATCATTTCAAACGCGCTTTTGAATTCCATAAAGTCATCAGTCTCGATGCTGGCTTTGCTGGGCTGACCTCTGATGTTATTCATAAATATCTCTATGGTTTCAACAGTGGGAATCTTGATGACGATGACTTCAACACGAGTGTGAGAGATGGAGTCAACGGACTTTTCAAATTCTCTCACATATTATTCTTTTTCCCGGTCCTTCAAACTATCATGAACTCGCTTCCATTGTGGTTGCTCGAAAAGCTTGACCCATTCGTGTATGCACTAGTGAGCCAGAAGTTGGACCTTCTTCGTCGGACAAAAGAACTTCTACAAAATAATAAGTCGTCAAACTCAGAAACTCCCACCGTTATGGAGGTTATGTGTGGTCACAGTATGCCGGAGGATATGCGCGGCGCTACTCGTCTCAGCAATGAAGGATTTTCCTTGATTATCGGTGGTACTGAGACAACTGCTCGATCGCTAGTTATTGCGGCATTTCACATATTGGACAATGAGTCAATCAAAACCAGGCTGCGAGAGGAACTGCGGACGGTGATGCCCACTCCTGAGTCTCGACCAACATGGAGACAGCTTGAACAGTTGCCATATCTGGTAAGTACTCTGTTACATAGCATGATAATGGGTCTTTATCTATGCTCAATGACTGAATTATTTCTTTTCATAGTCTGCAGTAGTGTGGGAGACATTACGTGTGTCTACTGGGATTGCAAGTCGATCGCCTCGTGTTGCACCTACTGAAGCATTGGTCTACAAGAATCACGTCATCCCTGCTGGAGTATGTGTAGGCATTGTTACTGGTTTCGCAGAATATGCATTGACATGATCGAAATCTAGACTCCCGTCAGTGAGATCCACTATTTCGTTCTCACAGACCCCCAGATCTTCCCCGATCCACACACCTTCGACCCAGACCGATGGTTACGTGCCGCTGCGAAAGGGGAGCATCTGGATAAGTATATGGTCAACTTTTCCAAAGGCAGTCGGATATGTTTAGGGATGAAGTAAGTTGCTTGAACTCCTCTCCTTCTTTACCAATATCTAATCTACGTGATATTCCAGCTTGGCCTATGCGGAGATGTTTCTTGTACTGGCGGGCTTTGTCCGTCGTTTTGACATGGAACTGTTTGAGACGAGCGCAAAGGATATTGCTTTTGCGCGTGATTTTGGAACCCCATATCCCGACGAGGGGAATCCCCGCGTGCGAGTTATGGTCACAAAGGTGATTGATGAGTGAATCTTCCACTGAAATTCAATGTGACATTCAAATTGCATAAGTGTCCTTAAAGTTGGAAATATGAACTATGTTATGACTCACTGAATGATTGTTGGAAGAACCGGTGCCGTGATAGCCGACCTCGGGATATGTTAGACCAATCATAGACGTTAAATAATAACCCCCATATAAAAATATGGAAGATACCTAAAAGGGAAAGACAAGTCAGAACAACGTTATCTCCGTGTTAAATCCGAATGCTTGTCCAACTTTATTTTGGAAGGCGCCACCTGGGGGCCTGAATCGGGCGCCTGGGTATTCTGGTTCCAGCATAACACTCCCGAGATCTCATCTCTCATCCTTCCATCGCATCCACGTTCAAGACATCCAACATGCCTTCGGATAACCACGTCAAAGCGGGCTTGGCTCTCATCGAGGACAAGTCCAAGATCCTTGGCTTGACCATTGGCAGCCATGAGAACGTCCAGCCAGGCACATGGCTACCCCGCAAAGGTAAGGACCAGTTCATTCACTGGTGTCACCCCTCCCCAAGTCGTGCGATAGGCGATCGAGACATGGACTGACAAAAACCACAGCAGCCCAAGAGCCCCCAAAGCTCACCTTCGCCGGGGCCAACCCCACCAGCACCTACCTGGTCGTGGGCTTGGATATTGACGCTCCTTTCCCTTCCTTCGGAATCCTGGGACCCATCCTTCACTGGATCCAGTCCGATATCAAGCTCAACAGTGAGGGTGTACTTGTATCTGACGCGCCTTTCGTTGCCAATTACATCGGCCCTGCTCCTCCCCCCGTGAGTGCACCTCATCGGTACATCTTTTCCTATACGAACAGCCTGCAGACTTTGATCTCACGGCCTATGCGCCTGTCGATGGCAAGAAGCTTAGCAATTCGAATCGCATGCGGTACGATCTTGATGCTTGGGCGGAGGAGATCAAGCTTGGTCCTCTTGTGGCTTTCAACTATTTCACCTCCAACTAGCAGGTTCTTTGTCAAAATTAATCGGATTTGTGGTTTGATGAAGTTCAAAGGGGAGGATATGGCGTTTCTTATGGTGGTTTCCATTCTCAAGTCCAAGGGAATAACCTAGTCTCAATAACTGCCAGCTAATGGATGCTGCTTTGGTTTGGTAGAATTAATCAATAACTCTCAACTTCCCAAGTTCTCAACAAGGTGCCATACTGTATATATTCAAGGGTACACACATGTGTGTTCTCTTGACTGTAATAGACTCCCAAATGGCTTCCCCATAAACCACTTCACCGATAGAAATTCCCTAGATGTTTTCAGGTATGTGTTTACAGCGTTCAGCCTCAGGCATCAAAGGAGAAGGCCAGATTCAAAGGGGCATTAGATAATGTCTTTGTTGATTGTTTGACTGATTATGCCATTGTTGCAGTGCCATCTGCAGTTTAAAAGGGCAATCAGCTTCTCCCACAACGATGTTCTGGGTTCAATTTCGTAGATTCTTCATCTTTGGCTCTCTTTTGAATGCTCTCATAGAGTCAGAATTGATGCGAGTTCCTTTTCATCGGGGAATATGACTTCCAACAAGCCGGTAGACAAGCTAGCCGATAATTTGAAGGGGTTGGTCATCGGCGCCAGTGGCACAATTCCTGGATATCAACATGGTATGTTGTTCCTCAAATCAAAGAGAGGTCACACACAGGGATAGGGAGAGAGACATCTTCTAGACATCATTTGATGAATGACACCCCGTTATCTAGGAGAAATCAAGCGGATGGTCGAAAAATGTGGTGCGAAGTTTGCGTCGATGAATATCAGTGAGTGTACTCATCTAGTGACAACCGAGGAAAACGCCAAGAAAAAGTTGAAAAAGAGTCAGCGTCAAGTTTCGTATCCCCTAGTATAGGCGTCGACTAACAGGGTGATTTCGTTTCAGTCAATCGGGCTCGCGAACTGAAAGGCTGTGAAATTGTGAACATTGATTGGCTGCTCAAGAAGATCAAAAAGCACATCCCAGAGGTTGATCAGAAAGAAATACTTAAGCGTGAGGGAAATGAAGGCGTTAGACCCAAAGACAAAAAGCGTGAGCGAGATTCTTCTGAGGATAACGAAGGAAACCTTTCAAAGAAAACGAAGGATGAAGAGCAGATCAACCTCAAGAGGCTAATTGATTTGGTCGACGATAAATACCCAAAATCGAGTCAGTGATGCCATATAGTATTTTCATTCCAAGACTTGAATATCTAACACACTTTGTTCTTAGGCGACACAGTTTCCGTTTACCAGGACGACGCGGGATTGATATGGGATGCCACGTTGGTCAACGCTGATGGGGAAGAACAAGTCGATGTTTTGCGAATTCAACTTCTGCAGGTTCATGGCAAGTCACAATTGTTCCACACATGGGACTTGCAATACCGATTTGGATCATCTGAGGAATCAGATGTAATTCGAAATTCCGGAAGCCTCGACTCTGCCAAGCGTAGATTTAAGGCGAAGTTCAAGATGTTCAGTCATCTAGCCTGGGAAGATAGACATGATACCCCCCCGTTCTAAAGGCTGGTTCTTCCTTGAAATGCATCACAGGGAGGCTCCCATCTTCACCAGCGAAATCAGCCCGTTACCCGCAAGCGTTGAAAATGTTTTGAAAATCATCTTCACATCAGGAAACTTGAAGAACTACGTCCAGTTTCTAACCCGTTACGGGCGCAGTGTTTTGCTTGGAACCACGGTGGACAAGAAAAAGCTTCTGGTTGGGATTGCAGTTTTGGACAAACTGATGGAGCTCACCAACCCTCAGGTGGCACTTGGGGGCCATTCCAACGTGAAGAATAGATTGTGCAAGATCTACGAAAGCTTGATCCTCACAAATATGAGCATTTCAGCCGCCAATGATACCATCAGACAGGAACTGGAATCCCTTGATCTCTTACTCAAATTGCATGATGCCAGCAAGATTCTGGAAAAAAAACTCCCAGTCATCCTCATTGGCCATGAGCCAAATTTCCCAAGTACTCGGTCTCGCAACAATGACCCCAGGTATATATTTCTTTGGTGCCTCCCCGTTGTCAATCCTTGGGTGCTTTGCGAAACACCAAGACCTGTAGCTAACCCTTGTCCCTTATTAACAGTGAAGGGAAAGTCGACAGAATTCAAGATGCTCCAGGAGTATATTGAAAAATCGTCTAGTCCAAACCACCCGTCTCAATTCAAGGCAAGTCACGTTCGAATTATATTGATAAAGGCCAAGGCCGGTCTAACGCTTTCACATCTCTAGGAGGTAATGGGCATATTCCGTCTCGAACTTCCCGGGGAAGCAGAGCGTTTTTCCCAGTGGGAAAAGGAAAACCTTTCTAGTATTGGCGACCGGCGATTACTGTGGCATGGCTCAATGTCTAGCAACTTTGCAGGGATCTTGAGTCAAGGGCTCCGTGGCGATGGAATTGTCAGTACCGATGGGAAGAACTTCGTTCCTGGGGTATTCTTTGCCGACATATCCACCAAGTCGGCAGGGTATTGCCGACAGAAAGGGGAGGCCCTGATGTTGCTATGTGAAGTCGAGCTAGGTAAAGCCTCGGCTGTTTCAGATCGCCATGGTGGCAGAACTTTTCATAAAAGGTGGCGCGATGCTGGATATATTCACCCGGATTTCAAAGGGACCCAGGTGCCAGACGTTGATGCCGGAACAGCGACTTTAAACAACTACTCCGGTCTTTACCACTCTGAGTATGTGGCAAAGAGCCCCGCACAGATTCGTCAACGATATTTGTTCCATGTCAAGATTGTTTGAAATGTCAAGGACTTTCAGGACTTTCGGGTGAAGAGGTTTGAAGGGGTTTGATTTGGGAACTACAGAATGATGAACTTTTCCTATCGCAATGCGTTGAAATTTATGTTGGTACAATACAATGCTGGATGTTCCCCATTACATCGTGTAGCGTATAAGTATGTGTGTTGTATAATGACAGAAATATAGTACGATTATTTTATGGTAACATTTAGTGGCATATGTCGGATACCATGATTGAATACATTAGAAATATATGGAGTCGAAGCCTGGAACAATTATCCAAAATGTTGGCACTCTTTGGTGCCGATTGGGCCTAATAGGCTCTTACCCGGCCCCAAAGCCTAGCTTATTTGCGGGATAGGTTGGGTCGGGTTATACCCTTCACTATGGAGGCTGTGATATCTCGGTAAAAGATTTAGAAAATCGGGAAACGAGAATACGACACTCCGTGGTGGATCAGTTGGATTAAGGCTTGCACCAACCAGAGGCCAGATCCTTCCGATCGTCAGCACCTAAGAGGCCCAAGGTCATGGGCGATGTCGCAGTCTAGCTGAGACCCACAATCAGCTTATTATGCGACGCATTGTGCTCAGTACCTAATCCATTCATATCCTCCAGGTATATCCTAATATGCCCCCAACTGAGTCTGCTATGCTTAAGAGGAGGTCCCGAAGCGGTATGCTTTGCCTATCTCTGGCTTCCTTATCTTCAGCACCCCCTTCCCACTCCCCACCCACCTATCCTAACCACTGAATCTTATTTGTTATTTAGGATGCCACACATGCCGTCAACGACATCAAAAATGCGATGAGAGTAAACCATCATGCTTGAACTGTCACTTGCGCGGGGTCCAATGTGGAGGGTATGGAATCACACTGACCGACTTTAGAGCTCAGAGTGGCCAAAAAGGCCAAATGGTGTCAAAAATGAGGAGGGGCGGTCCGGAAGTTGTTAACGGGCAATATATACCTGTTGAGAATCCCTCGGGCATGCCATCGGAGACTGATCCTCGGGATTTGGCGTCCCCTTTGAGGCCCACGGATGAAGCCGAACCTGACATGTCATTCCTCGAAGCACTCACTGCAGAAAGTTTGGGTCCTGATCCTATCGAGGAGTACGATATATCAATATCCTCGACGGGCCTAGATATGGTACATGATTGGTCCGCAGATACCTGGTCGGCTGGTAACCAACTTGTCGAAGACAGTACAGACATCCTGGACAGCTCGCTTCTCGGATCGTTTTGCGATCCAATTTTGTACCAAACACCGCAGGATCCTTTCGATCAATATCTTTTTACTCACTGTGAGTTTCTGGGCTCTTCATAGATAAACGAAATAAAGGCTCCAAGCTAACTACGGCCCTTGGCAGACATGGATACCCTGTCATTACGACTATACCCAGTCAAACTAGACAGCAACCCTTACCGTAACGTATATGGATCTTTGGCTACCGAGTCAGAGCCGGTACTAAAAGCGATCATGCTCGCCTCTGCTTTTCACCTCTCAAAGTTGGGAAAGTTACCAGCCTTCGCCGTCAAGCCTTACCGGATGGCAATGCAACGCTCGTTCCGGGATGCTTTGAAGACACAAAACGACGAATGGGCCCTTGGGGCGACCGTTTTTCTTTCCATTGTCTTCGATGTATGCCTTCCTGAGAACTTTTGTTTCCAACCATAGGACTAACATCAGTAGGTCATCGGCACTGGTATGGATACCTGGAGCTCAAAGCTCATCGGTTGCCGTCAATTATTAGAGAGAACACTTTCAAACCGAAACCTTAAAATGGACTCGGGGCTCCGATGTATGCTTTTGCAGTACAATTGGGCTGTTACAATGGGGAAAACACTCCTCAGAGGAGTCTTGCCCGCTGCCACATTCAACGAATTGAAATGCATCGATGAAAGTGAGAAATTTCGTACAGCTTCTCAGCGCATGGGTTCCTCTGCTAACGAGACCCCTTCTTTCTGTCTAGCCTCAGCCCTTCATGGAGTAGCCGAGGATATTGAGATGGCCCATCATCAATCGCAATGGTGGGACAACCTACCCGATTATCAAATGCATATCTTCTTACGCCAGGCAACTGAATACTCTCTCACTGTGGAGCGCCTAAAGTTTACTCCGAACGGTACAGACGAACTGCTGCAGCTTATGCCACATGTTGCTCAGCTTGTCAACAAAATCCAAGCCTGGCAGCCGAATGTCGTAGCGGTCCAACCCGAGTACATGGAGTCGATCCACCACTTCAACGAGATTTGGAGACTGGGTATGATATGTTTCGTTCACGGTGAGATATACTGCTTGGAAGCTAGTGATGACCTTGTCCAGACCTACGTCGAGGCTTCCCTCGAGCCCCTTCGAAAGCTCACCTGGCTCCAGGCTTGTCTGTTCCCCATGTTTATGATCGCGGTGCATGCGCAGACGGAGGAAGCACGCACAGTCTTCAATTCCAAGTTGAAGGAGATGCATAACGTGCTAGGCTTCCAGGCCCCATTGTCTGTGGCTTCTGTTCTCAAGAGCATATGGGAACGTTCTGATGCCACTGTGGCGGGGAAGTTCAAATGGAAAGAGGTCATTAAAGATCTTCGCATGGAATTGAATATTATTTTATGAAGCCTAGTGATTACAACTGACAAATTCAATGGCGTTTTTGTTTTCTTGGGTCTTGGATACCTTAAACTGAATGGTAAAAACCATAAGCGAGTCCAATATATCGAGGATAACAGAAAGGAATGACCTTTCGTTGTCACCATTTGACAGGGGATACTGCTACATTATATAAAGCCTACAAAATGGGGCTGGGATTAAGAACATCCTGCAATGTGGTGGAATGACCTATTGCATTTAGAGGCATTGCATTGGCATTGCTTTTCTGTTTATCCGGATCGACAGCAAAAGCACTCAAGTTGACAAATAATAGATGACGAGAGTATTGACTGCAAATAGGACTATCATCAATCAAGCCATCATGATAGCCAAACACATAACTACATTCATTGCGCCCCGGTATGCTAAATAAGATCCACAGGGTGGTACTTGGACCAGTCGCCCTTCACCTTCAAGAAGTCCAAAGGCTCCATATGCTCGACCGCACCACCGTAGGGCCGGCTCACATAATAACCGAGAAAGCGCTGAACTGCGGTAGGGTATTTCTCTGCAACTTCCCAGGGGACAGCAAGGTATTGAGTTTCTTCCTGGCGACGATAACCGGGGGTGGAGGTGGCAGTCAGGAGAACGCTCGGTTGGTCGGTCGTATTCGCTGCGCGACCGTAGTATGTAGAACCGAGACTGTCATGAATAGATTTTCTGCATAAGCTTTTGGACGATAAAATGGAGAAGGAAGACAGGGTGTTTAGAACTAACCATAGTAAAGCATCACCTTTGCGTAGCTCAACCAGGCATTCCTCCTCCGAGGTTGGATCTCGATTATCCATCCATTTGTTTGACCCAATCACGACCCGAATTGCACCGTTGTCCTTTGTAATATCGTTTGCTGCGTACATGATTCCGAAGTCTGCTTCACGCTTAGCAGGATGCGAAATGTGGTGGCATTCGTCCTGGCGCCGCAGGCCCCAAGGGGCTGCTCCAGGTTCTGCCGACATTATGGAGGTCTGAGAGACCTGAGGATCGGAGATTGACACTGTTCGCTCTTTTTCGTAGTAAATGATACAGGTGTCGGTGAGGATGCGGTTCGTTAGGTCGATGTAAAGCGGATTCATCAGCAGGCCGGTGGCAAAGGTTGTGCTCTTCGAGGCTAGGGCAAATGTCTGGCCCTCTTTCACCATCCCAATATCTTTGAGGGCCTCGTCAATAGTTTCGCGCGTGGAGGCACCCTCGATGACCACTACGCCATCTGCCATGAGGTACTGATGGACCACGTGCGGGTCAGCGACCGCGGAAAAGTGCTTGACAATAGCAGGCATGGTATCAAATGAAGGTTAATGGATTTTAATCTTGTGTGATGGGGAATAAAGGGTGTAATAAAGGTGAACAAAAGAAGAAGTGTAGGATGGCAGAACCCATGATGGCACACAAATATATGTCATTTAGGGAAACACCGCGGAATTTTCCGATGGAAACCTGGCTCACTTTGCTTTGATCCTTTGAGAAGCGATAACCGAGCCTATGTCGTACACGAGGAAGTGATGCCCAGGTGCAATCAGGAAATGTGGAGATCAAAGAGTTGAGATATCCGACGCGAGGCTACCATTTCCTCTTTGGGACAAGTCTCTCATATATACCGCCATATGTATATATTAGTTTTGAACACTTAACAAATCAGTTACTGTTGCTCAATTTCATTTTCCCATACTTGTCCATCAAAGTTATACCGATACAAAATGCCCAACCCCCTCACCAAGCTAACAACCCAGAAGTGGTGGAGTTGGATGCCTCCGCTCCTATCGAAGAGATTGTTAAAGTGATTCAACGCGACGGAGGTATCATCATCAAAAACTTCCTAAGCACTGAAATCATCGACCAGATTCATGCCGAAGCCCAACCTTACTGGGGTAAGCTTGGAAAATACGTCGGTAAGCTGTTCGACGCAGCAGACCCTCCTCTCAGTGGCTTTGCTGGCAAGTCTTCGACCTTTGCCCACAAGGCAATCAACCATCCGACTTATCGGGAGGTTTCCAAAGCTCTCCTGAAGGAGGAATCGTGAGTATCCCGATTGACGGCCCTCAGCACTACATAGTACTGATTAGTAGTTGAAGGAACGTGTATCGCGATGGACAGAGATACAATACAGTCTCATATCCAGTTTTAGCTGTCTCCGAGGCGTTTAACCGCGGGTCGCCCTCTACCGCTCAACAGCTTCATCGCGACGATATGGCACAACATTTCGATCATCTTGAGGGCAGCGGAGAGAGCTCCTTGTTGGGTCTGTTGGTCGCGGGTGTGGTGAGTAACTACAGGATATAGAGGAAATCTTTAATAAAAATTTATGCTAACCTGACATCTAAATTCAGGATACCAACTTCGACAACGGCGCGACGCAGGTCATTGTTGGCTCCCATAAGTGGCCCGAAGCCTCTATCTCCGGCCCTGCAGACCGATCCCTCTGCTCGACATGCGAAATGAAGAAAGGGGATGCGGTGTTTATCATTGGGAGCATTTGGCATGGAGCTGGTGAAAACAAGACAAACCCCCCAGAGCGCCGCATTGTATACTCCTGTCATATGACTCGCGGCTCAATGCGCGCCGACGAGAACCAGTATCTAGCTATCGATGCGGATGTCATCAAGGAATATGAGCCTGAGGTTCAGGCTTTGTTGGGATATTCTGTTAGCCATCCAAACTGTGGCCATGTTGACATGAAAGATCCCATTACCCTACTGGGGAGCAAGGAGGATCCATTTGGATATGGAAGCTTCCAGGGGCAAGCTGCATTGCCGGCCTCCGCTATCTGAATGGTCTGGATTATACAATGGATCAATGTTATAACTTGATGCCGTACTAAAGAATGAAGTCATCGTACGATTTTGAGATACTTATTTTTATGGAAAAAGACGTTGAGAAATCCTTTTCTAAACTTTCATATAGTCTCCTAATCCTGAAAAATACGTCTCAATAGCCATGTACTCTCTACACATGCGATTATCCTGGTCCATAGTGAGGATATGGCTGTTACTGGAAATGATATGATACCGTACTGCAAATGCAGGGTTCAACAATCTTGATTCAGTTAGATACATGAATACATCAATTCTGTTCCTCAAAATAGAAACTCCTGTACAGATATGGGGGCATTTGTCACGATTTTTAGAACCACAGTTCCTCAAATGACTCGAATGAGTAGATGAGACATTGGAACATGTACCTATGTTAGTGAGGATTCGGGCTATCTGTGTATGCTACCTAGCTACAATTGCGGGGGCATAATAATTACATGGGCAAAATCCATGGCCGATGACTGAATATCCGGAAAAACATAGTACCTTGGGCATGAGGTTGCCTCAGCATTCTAGCCGATGATTTTAGGGGGCACATTTTCCAAGAAAATGAACACCATGATTCAGCCCAATCTAATTAACCTGCCGTCATCAAGATAACATTTGGTCATTTGGTCTAACCGTTTTAGGCTCGGTTAGCCGCATGTATAGCCCAGGGAGGTACCTATACCTACTCCTCTAGTGTTTGACAGGCAGACCTTAAAATCAGGAAGATTGAAATAAATCAGCAGTGTATCACTGGATCTACGGGTCGAGGTCGAGATCTTTGTTTATCACGAACACCCATGGCGATAAACCACTCTCCGAAAAGCACGACCACAGATCCCGCAATAGCATCGGAATTGCACCATGCTGATCTCTCATACGTTGTCAATCGAGTAATTACCGCAGACTCTCATCGGCAGGAGACATTCGAAACTGAAGTACCTCCTGGTCTAAGCCGACTGAGACAGTTTTCAATCATTTTTCTAGTTCTTCTGTGCAATTTGATCCAGGTACTTCTTCCCATGCACTAAAGTGGCTTTTTATATGAACAATATTGACTGGATGTACAGTATGCTTCTCAGTTCTCAACGGTAGCTGGTGGGTATGAGTTCAGCGCGAGACTCGGCGTGGAAGTCGGACCAGGCAAAGCTAATTGGATGGCTGCGGCATACGGGTAGGTCTCTGTTTCACGTCGCTTCATTGCTTTTTTTAAGTCGATATCTGAACTCGTCCAACTGAGATTACATTGTCTAGACTCACCCAGGGTTCCTTCGTTTTGATTAGCGGTCGACTAGGAGCCGTGTATGGCCACCAAAGACTATTGATATTGGGAGGCGCCATCCTGGTCGTCTTCTCACTTTGCAATGCTTTCTGCAACACATATGTTTCTTTCATTGTTATGCGGGCTTTGACTGGAGTTGGCGGTGGCATTCTGATGCCAAATGCTGTCGCGACTCTCACAATCATGGTACCACCTGGCAAGGCTCGGAACTTCACTTTGGCTACCTTTGCTGCATCACCACCAGTTGGTGCGATGATAGGAGCGTTGATTGCTGGTGCTGTGTTAAAATACACGGAGTGGAAGTGGCACTTTATCATCTTGTGAGTGACTTAGAGTGGGGTGGTATTGGCTGTGAGAAACGTACTGAGTTCCTTTCCTGTAGATCATGTCTCGGAGCAGTTTTCTTTGGAAGTCTATTTTTTACCTTCCCTCCTGAGGACCCAGTTGATAAAAATGGAAAAATTGATGTCATAGGAGCACTTTTGGGGCTTAGTGGGCTTTTGCTGTTCAGTGTTGCCTGGAAGTAAGTTTCCTATCCTCGATCAATGACATTTTTCTTTCGCTGACTACCTTGTTTATAGTCAAGCGCCTTCAGTTGGGTGGCAAAAACCTGCGGTTATTGTCATAATAATTTTATCGGTGCTCTTAATTGCATCCTTTTTTGTATGGGAAAGTCGGTTTGCAATTGAGCCGATAATGCCTTTGACAGCCTTCAAAGCACCGAGCTTCAATGCCCTGGTCTTCGTCGTTCTGTTTATTTACATGTCTGTTGGAATTTTACTGTGGTATATGGTTGCATGGGAACAGTTAATCCGGGACTGGACAGTGCTGCACATTGCAGTCGGCTGGATCCCTTATGGAATTGGGGCTTCAGTTGCAGTAATCACAGCCGCATGGCTGATTACACTCCTAGAAGCGCAATACGTCCTCGCATTGGGATGTTTGACTTCGTTTGCTGCCAGTGTATTGCTGGCAACAATGCCAGAGCAGCAACTCTATTGGATGCAGGTATTTCCGGCTACAATATTAGGCAGTCTCTGCCCTGACTTTGTCTACGTTGCAGCGCAGATAATTGCCAGCAACTGTGTTGAAAAGCACGAGCAGGGCGTGGCTGGCAGTCTGATTGGAACTTTGAATCTTTACGGTAACAGTCTAGGCCTTGGCTTTGCTGGTACAATTGAAGGCCAGGTTTCTAAAAGAACAAACAATGAAGTAGCAGGGTTCCGTGCTGCACTGTGGTTTGGGGCTGCATTAGCTGTGGCTGCACTGGCTCTTGATCTAACATTTGTGAGGCTGCGCCATGTGGACCGTGAAGACTGGGACTCGCCTCGACCTTTGGATCCTGAGGCTACGGAAGTTAGACGATAAGATGAATGTCCAACGAAAATTGCGTGAGAATATAAAAATTGGATGCCGGAATTGGATTGTTTGGAATGAATAATTAAGTACCTCGCGGTAGGGAGCTAATATTAAAATATTCCCACACCAGTACATTCCAGAAAGGAAATGTTAATGCCTTCAGGCACCCTTCATATTAGTTCTTGGGAATTCCTTCCCTATGACTCGCCCAGGGGAACTAGCCTCTATATGTACATGCTAGCGCTAACTATAATTTTGTATTAAGAAGTGTAACCTATGTTTTCTCGACTCTTTACAGCTTAATTCGGGTGGTTTAGCTATTCACATAGATGTTCGGGATGTGACCCATACCCCAACTAGATTTGGTCTCTCTCTCTTTCCCCCATGCACCAAATTATATTAGCCTAATATTTTTGATATCTTAGATACTCGCTTCCTATAATTCAAGATATATAGTCACTAATAGTTGCACCCTACATACGTGTATCACGTTAGACTCTTATCTAACCTTCAGTTGCGGAATATAAGGCCCCACCACGCTTACCCCTTCTAGTGGCCTATCTCAGATCTCTTATCGATAGATACACATGTAGCTTATTAACCCTGGAATGAAATTAGTCCATGCCTAAAACGGTGAGGGTAGCCGATCTAAGGGCCAGCCCGGCAAAAACCTGAAAAGGTAAACCACTATCTTTTGTAACCCAGCCAGTATCGAAATCTTCGAGGAGTACCGGAGCTAGAATGGTTGGTATGGTGGACATGGTGTAGGTCAACTATGGAGATAAGGTACATTGAATCTAAAGTCTTGACAAGGTATAATATAAAATCATGAACCTTCGTTGCGGTGATCAGAAGAACCGAATATCATATTCAAAGGATTTTGGTTGAATCGCACAAAAGAGATTAATTTTCTATCTCCCTACGTCTGTTTTCGAAGCCCGAAAAAGAGCACCGGTCAGACTTGCAAAATGGCAAGCGAAGTCGCAGATGAACTTCCCAAGACATTCGGCCTGTGGAGTGGGCTCAGTATCGGGTGGAATACCATCAATGTATTTGGTGGAATGTCCTTCATCCTTGTTGTTGGCCTTTCTGCAGGTGGTATGCCTACAGTACTATACGGATTGTACATCAATACTATTCCAGAAGAAGTGTCCTAAGCTGACTAGTTCTTTCGTATAGTATTGGGTGCAGCATAGGTGCTTTATGTATGATGCTGGTGTTTGCAGAGTGCTCCGCCAGATATTCTACTGCAGGTAAGATAGGTCCGATTTATTTCAGTGTATCTGGTTTCTAGCAAGCTGACTTGGGAACAGGGGGTGCTTACCATTTCGGATCCTTTCTCATTCCCGATGAATATAGGCGAGGGGGCGCATATATTTTGGGATGGTTCAATTATCTTGGATGGATAATGACCCATGCTGGGTGTTGCTTATTCGTCTCAACGCTAACTTTGGCTCTGATCAATCTTTGCGCTCCAGATTTCGACGTATATTCACGATGGCAGAACTTCTTGATCTATGTTGCATTTGCCACCTGGGCCTGGCTCATTAACATATTTGGCGTCAAACTAATTCCAGGGCTTGAGCTGCTTGGAAGTTAGTATCACGGATTTAATCTCTCTGAATCATTAGCTGACATTCTGGGTAGGTCTCTCAACTGCTCTTGGGTTTATTGCATTTACTGTTGCATTACTTGTCATCTCACCCAAGGCATCGACAGAGAGTGTTTTCAAAACTATTAACAATGATACGGGGTATACTATGCTACAAAGACTACCAACTTATTAATTCGAGACTAATGCTAAGCAGGTACTCGTCCAATTCATTCGCTGTGTTTCTCGGACTATATAACAGCATGACTACGCTTATGGCCCTTGATGGACCGACACATTTAGCGGAAGAATTGCCTTCTCCCAAAATAATCATGCCACGGATCCTGATTATTACAATTGTTTCTCAGGCTGTCTTGGGAGTTGCATGGATTATAGTGCTGGGGTTCTCAATAGGGGATCTTCAGTCCATTATCCATACTTCCACGGGGTGAGAACACAACAAGTTATGAGAATAACTTCCTTAAACTAACAGTTCAACTAGTGTGCCCGTGATAGAACTTGTGAGACAGGCTACAAGAAACGATGCAGCAGCTATCATTTTCTGTTTGATACTGATCATCAACAATGGTACCTCGGCAGTGGCTAGTGCGACTACTGTGAGTCGCCAGGGTTATGCCTTTGCTCGAGATGGAGGCTTGTTTTGGAACAAAAAGTAAGTCTCCCATTCGGGGCCTTCCACTTACTCCCAAAATCCGAAATCAACAGTAACTAATGATAATGATAGACTTTGTGAAATTTCTCCCAAGTTTCAGCTCCCGCTATGGTCAATCCACCTCCCTTATTTATTGACCGTCCTTATCGGCCTAGTGTAAGTCTTTTAAACTATGGTTATGGTTAATTTGTACGATAAAATGAGACTATGAGTACTAATTCTGGTAGCTACTTGTTTTCCAGTGCCGCTTTCAATGCCATCGTTGGCAGCCAGGCGGTATTCATGATTTCCAGTTGCGGTAAACGGTACTTTCTTTTCAATTGATTCGGATTACAACTGACCATTCTTCAGGGTCTCCTGCCCTGATCATGCTTCTGACGAGTCGAAGACTTCTCCCACATAGCCCTCGGTGGGATCTTGGTCGCTCCGCCTACCCCATATGCGTGGTTGCTGTCGGCTACACTCTTCTTGTACTCTCTATTGCATTTGTATGGCATACGTCATCTGAATTTTCTGTCCAATTTGCTAATTTGATGAAAACAGATTCCACAATCCTCCCCCGTGACCAGCCTTAACATGAACTACACGGTCCTCATTGTGGGTGTGTTCTTGATAATAATGGCCTTGACTTGGATTCTTGTGGGTAGAAAGGACTTCCAACCGCCCAGTAAGGACCCAGAGGTCTACATTCTGGATAGCCAGGAGCCATCTGACAGCAACTGTACTGTCCAAATAGTTGTTGATGGCTCTCGAAACAAGGACCAGAAGATGCTTTGACTCGGAGATACTTGCAGCTCGTTTATAGAGAACACGCAACTGATGGATAAAATATCCATTCACAAATTCATTCTCTTTGATTATTTTGATATTTGCAAATTATTGACAGAGGAGAATTTTCTCGTCGCCGTTTGATATCTCAAGTAGCGTTCCGCAAAGCCCATAAATGGTCCCGAACCCCAGGCCCAGAGCCCAACCTGCAGCCTATTAATAGGGGCCCATAAGGCCCCCATCAAAGCCCATTAAAAGGGGTTCGGCCGGTATCTTATAATCGCTGTACAAGAGTATATATTTATTTTAAAGAAAATCCGACTAGTAGAGGTCGAGATACTACAAAAAGGATTGTTTTACTGCTTAATATATATTTAGGGTCTAGATAGGAGTATTATTACCTTCTGAATTAACTTATATTATCTAAAGAACGCGCTTTCTCGCGTTTTTAAACGTGATATAGGGGAGATAACTAGTAATTTATTCTAAACCCATTTAAACTAATAAAATATTGCCTTTAGAATAATTCCTAGAAACGGGGGTAAAACGAAGGGTAATTTAAAAAAACCCTAACAGAGGGTTCAACTTCTGAATTCTCGGCATACATTCTAGGTTGTGTGGGTGCTGTTCTATGAAGTATGCAACATTATTTTTGTAATTTTTCAATAGCTCCGAGTCAATTCCAACCTATCAATAGAAATCAAAATTTTCATACAAATATTGGGACATTGTATCCATGCTGCGGTGCTAATCAGTCATAACCCTTCATACAATGGTCAGGTTATATCACTTACTAGGATTGGGTCATTGAGCCTTAGCCCTCGGTTCAAAGCACTAATAGCCTCAATTTCAACTTCACTCAGGTTCCACTCCATATCCAAATTCTGACGCATATGCTCTGGACGTCTACTTTTGGGAATGACGGCAATTCCACGTTGAGTTGCCCAGCGCAGTAGAACCTGGGATGATGCCCTGCCTTGTTTTTGCGCAATGGTTTTGATCAAGTGATGATCCAGTAGTGAATCAATTTCGTCGACATTTTCCAATTTAGCTGCCACGGTGCTCTGGGGGCCAAAGGAACAGTATGCTGTTACCACTATTCCTTGCCCTTGAGAGTAGTCCACCAAACGTGTCTGGGTGAGATATGGATGGTGCTCAATCTGCAACACGGCGGGCCTTATACACGCGTAGCACAGTAGGTCACTGATCAGCTGTATGTGGAAGTTGCTGATCCCGATGCTTCTTGTGAGCTTGGCTTTGACTAGGGATTCCATGGCTCCCCAGGTTTCGTGCATTGGGACGTGGTCAAGTTCAACATTCTTGCTATTTGTAAGTGGGGTAGCTGTCCATCCCGGAGGGTAGTGTTCAGATGGATCAACATATTTCAACGAAACTGGAAAGTGAACCAGATATAAGTCAAAGTAATCCAATCCCCAATCAGAGAGCTGCTTGCGTGCAATCATTTGGACATGTTTGGGATCGTGAAAGGTACACCAGAGTTTGGACACGATAAAGAGCTCGCTGCGTCGAACAACTCCATCATGAATGGCACGCGCGATTCCCTGTCCGGCTTCGACTTCGTTCCCGTAATCTATTCGAATTTCTTTGGATGAGCCCATGACCTGATTGGCACTATACAACGGCAGATTTTCCTAAGTTTGGTTTCAGGAGAGGTCACACTTACCACATGCGCCGTCAAATGATCGGTAACCCTCTTTAATAGCAGCATAAACTTGATCAGCACAAACGGCTTTGCTCACATCCCAGAGACCATACCCCGTCAGAGGCATCTCATATCCACTATTAAGCATGATACTTCGAGAAAACATATTTGTTTACCTTAGCGATGTTGGTCAGAAGCGAGGTGTAAAGAAGCAGCAGAAAAGGGGGACAAGAACAACAGTCAAGTATGTGACTAAATCGCATAGAGTATAATATACCAAATTTATACACAGATACCGGCAGTAGGTAATATTAGCCCTTTCAGGATGTGATAGCCTACGGACTTATACCTGAGGTCTCTAGATTGAAACATCAATCGGTAACTTGGGATATCTTTGATTCATCGTTCCAACCGTGTTAAGATCAAGCATTTTAATAATTCAGTAACTCCCAGCTACCCCTAATCAAGAGTTCCCACTTGCTGATTCAACGGAGCGAAGACTGCAACTTCAGTTGAAGTATCTCTACAATTGAAACAAATTCTATTTTCACAAATAAACCAGTCCTCTATGTAAGAGCCATCAATATACTGCCATCGAAATTATCTAACCAAAATTTCCATCTCTTTTAGACAATGAGAATCTCATTTGCTCGTTCGGCCAGAAATTCACGGCAACTTCGGTTCTACTGTGATCAACCTCGGCAAACTCCCACTGTGAGCGAGATAACGGTTATTTGGATGTGTCTTGGAATGGGAGTGGCATTACCATTTGTTCCGCCGGCAATTGGAAGTTTGAATGAAAGATGGAGATTGCCGAAGGCAGAACGAACGAAACAGATACACGATATCTAGGTAACTTGGAAATAACGTCATAAAGCGAAGATCATATATGATCCCGCGGGTATCGCAACCCGATTTGGTTAGACTGGGTTTTTCCATAGGATGTGCCTAGCTAGGTATCTTTGGATGTACTCCGTACTTCATTCCTCTCCTTCCAGCCACAGTGTTATAAGTGTACATTAACTTGATAATACCTAGGTAGTAGGTATGAAATATCTATTATGTAGAATAACGCGAAACCCACTGGTTTTTAATTAACACCACAAGAATATGTTGTCGGCCGCTTTCATGTTCTTTTGGATGCTCTTTCAGATACTCTTTTTAGATGTCTTTTTAGGTGGATACGAAGACGGTAACAAAAATCATACTTGGTGCAAGTTGGTTTCCTTATGGTGATTGTTCAGCCGGCAGCAGGATGTCGCATATATGACATTATCGGATATGCTACACAATCTCGGGGATTGTAACATAGAGAGATGTGGGCCTCGGGCACAAAGAACACTGAGTTACTCTCCATGGGTAGACGACATGAAGTGTGTCCTCAAAGTGCGAAGGTTACACCAAAGGCACGAAGCACGATCCATCCCGAGGTCGGTGCATTTTGATTATGTAAGGACAGGTGATCTCCAGGGCTTCCCTGCCCCCGCTACCTGCCAGCCACTCAAGGTACTCAGGGACGTGCTTTGTTCCTTTATACGCACATTTCCTTGTAACTCTTCTCTCAAGCCCTTTGCTGCCACAGTTTATTTTACGTCATGATTCTTTTGTGGGCGGCCGCTTTGGTAGTAACTGCCGCGGCGCAGTACTTTCCGCCCATACCAGATGGTTTGAAGGTAGTTGAATCAAAGCATCAAAAGGGAGTAAAGATTTCATACAAACAGGTGCGATTTCTTCCAAAGTTTCAATTTAAATATGATATGGTCATTGAGGTCAAAAGAAAAATCTCATACTGATGAATTGCACAGCCTGGGATCTGTGAAACAACTCCAGGAGTGAGATCATATTCGGGTTACGTTCATCTACCCCCAGGCTCTCTGGACGATGTAAATGTTGATCAAGACTACCCGATCAATACTTTCTTCTGGTTCTTTGAATCTCGCCATAACCCAAAGAATGCACCACTGTCCATATGGATGAACGGAGGCCCAGGAAGTTCTTCTATGATTGGCCTCATGCAGGAAAATGGACCCTGTATAGTCAACAAGGATTCAAATTCCACGGAGCTCAATCCATGGTCCTGGAATAACTATGTCAATATGCTGTACATTGACCAGCCAAATCAGGTCGGCTTCAGTTATGATGTCCCAACCAACGGTACCTTTGATCAAGTTCAAGGAGCCTGGAACTTATCGGAGTGGGCCGGGGTGCCTAAGCAGAATAACACCTTCTACGTCGGTACGACAGCTAGCCAAGACAAGTCGACGGTGGCTAATAGTACTCAAAACTCTGCACGGTCACTATGGCACTTTGCTCAGACCTGGTTCACCGAGTTTCCACACTACAAGCCCCATGATGACCGGGTTAGCATCTGGACTGAGTCATACGGCGGTCGCTATGGCCCATCTTTTACTGCCTTCTTCCAGGAACAAAACGAAAAGATACAAAACGGAAGCATCGATACCTCGGAGGGATCACACTACATTCACCTGGATACATTGGGCATCATCAACGGCTGCATCGATCTCCTAGTACAGGAACCTACATACCCAGTAATGGCATACAACAATACCTACGACATCCAGGCTATCAACAAGACCGTATATGATCACGCCATGGATGCGTGGAGCCGCCCTGGTGGATGCAAAGATCTGATCACAAAATGTCGCGCGCTGGCCGCAGAGGGTGACCCAAAAATGTACGGCAACAATGAAACCGTCAACAAAGCATGTCACAAAGCCGACAGGTTCTGCAGCAACAATGTCGAAGGTGCGTACATAGAGTATGGAGACCGCGGCTACTACGACATCACCCACAAAAACCCAGACCCTTTCCCACCGTCCTACTTCTTGGGTTGGTTGAACCAACATTGGGTACAAGGTGCACTGGGCGTCCCGATTAACTTCACCGAATCAAGCAACGGTGCTTACAACGCTTTCAAATCTGTCGGGGACTACCCGCGTTCTGACGTGCATGGCTACCTCGAAGACCTGGCCTACGTGCTCGACTCTGGCATCAAGGTCGCTCTCGTCTACGGTGACAGTGACTACGCTTGCAATTGGATTGGAGGTGAAGACGCCAGCTTGCTGGTCAACCATACTGGTGCTTCTGGTTTCCGGTCTGCTGGATACACGCCTCTACGCACGAATTCCACGTATATTGGGGGCCAGGTCAGGCAGCATGGTAACTTTTCTTTCGCCCGTGTCTACGATGCTGGCCATGAAGTCCCTGCCTACCAGCCCCAGACTGCATATGAGATCTTCTACCGTTCACTCTTCAACCATGATCTGGCCACAGGCAAGATCAATACTGCACGTAATAGTTCATATACCACAGAGGGGCCTGCGTCTACTTGGCATATCAAGAACAAGGTCGCAGAGAGTCCGGATCCGGTTTGCTATATCCTTGCTTTGGAGTCGACATGCACTGAAGACCAGATTGCAAGTGTGATCAATGGCACAGCTGTTATTCGTGACTATGTAGTTGTGGATGTGGATGTGGATGCGGATGTGGATGTGGACGTGGATGTGGATGGAGAGTTGAAGTAGACTTCATGCAATCTTTATGTATCTTACTAGCACATTCATCAAGCCACAAATAGAAACTTATATTCTTCTACAAATGAGCTCTTGTGTGATCATATACTCGCATGTTCGGTATCCATGACGGTCCCCTCCTACAGTTAAGGCACATATCTCAAATCATACCTGGTCTGATATCTCGGTGAAGGCTCGGCCTATTCAAGAAGGTTGTGGGTAGTACGGAATTAGGTATCTCATATTCTGAGCACGACAGGTGAACCCGGGGGTTTCACAAGCCGTGACAGCCCCGTAGGTAGGTAGGTACCTTCCAAGGTTTGAATCGCATGGAGGCTCGCGTCGTGTGGGTTCGGCCCGAACCGTTGTGTCTCCCGATTGGACAGGGGTGGCTCAAAAAACCGGATCCCTGTCTCCGCCAAGTAAATATGGTCACCTAGTGACTTCGTTGTGAGTTAGCATGAGCTTCGGACATGCTCCTCGGTGTCTGAATACTTATCATGCAAACATGGTGCCTGTCATCATACAATGTGACAACCCCAGTGTTATCCTACTGGTCGTCTCCAAACCCGGTCGTAGTGCTTTTGATGCTAGCAGAAGAGGAAGCATAGTGATGGAGGATGGCGACAAACGACCCTCAAGCTGTGGTCTTGTCCGATGCCGAGGATTGTGATGAATTGTGGAGACTGGAGCATTGTAATGATATTATAGGTTCGTGACTTCGCCCTGGGAGTTATTCAGAATCGTCCCTGTAGTCCGGTTTGATCTGAACGAGAGCCCTCTTCATGGGAAGTGCGCGCATATTTGATTCAAGATCCAATTAATAGACTCGGCAGTCGCACACGTCCTATGTTTTGCTGAAAGCCACACAAATCAGGTATAAGACGGCAAGCACCTCCGAGTGGATATGGGACTCCCTCATCAATCAGTCCACATGGCGAGATCGCGGCGTGGGTATTGGAGAAAGGACCGTTAGATTAGGCGGACAAAGTCTATCAAGTATTAATATCTTTGCATGTAATGTGAGAGGATCGAGCTTTTGCTACGAGTCAAAATATCGACAACATTTATCTGAGGCATCAGATAGAGCATCAAAATTTGAAATCAAAGATATACTGTATGTGACTACCCAGGGCAGTCAATCAGGTATCGGGACCAAACTACATTATTAGATATAGACTACATACACAAGCTCTGGTATCATGAGGGTCATAAGGAGGAGACAGGTACCCACGTACCTTCCCGATCAGGTACCTTCCCTTTTGGGGTATCACCTTCAGCCACTGGGAAAATATAAATACCCCCTCCCCCCATTTCTCTCTCTTCTTCTTCTTTATTTCTTCTTCATCCTTCCCCTTCCCTTTCCCCTTCCCCTTCCTTTTCCCCTTCATCCCCCCTCCAGCCCACATTGCACTCCGTGGTCCCCTGGACACCCAACATTTTTTTGAACTTGGGTTGTGCTATTGTCAAGTGATCGGTTTACCCCTGATGGGTTTACCCTGATGGCTCTGGCGAAACTCTGTAGGCGGCCTGGGCTAGGCTGCTAATGGCACGAAGCATGTCTTAGGATGGCTGAAAAAGCGCCCCTCACGGGGATCACATACCTATAGACCGCTGCGGATACAGACTGTACGTGCCCAGGTGCTCCCGTTGACCGTCAGGAGCTAAACCCTAGGGGAGGGGCTCTGTTCTCATCTCCTCCTACGTGCTCGAAGTTCTCTTTGAGCCAATTTTTTGTGCTTCCCACGGAGATAGCTCTCTGTGATCTTTTTTCCTTCTTATACCCAGCTGTACGGGTCATGTGTGCGGTACCTGAACAAGACTTGCACCTTTACGTGGTGATCAGGATGAGTAGCCTTCATGGTGAAACCAAGCAAGTCCTTATTATCTACAACTACAATATAACTTGATATTTATTCAATGTGTTTCTGCAGTAACCTATGGACTTGTAGTTCGACTAAGACCGTGTAAAATAACTCTCTGTTGTCCGAATAATTTTCTACAGACACTCTTTTTTCCTCCAAGGTTCCTTCCTTTCTACGGTTTTGTTCTGTTGCTGTCTTGTTTCTGCGTCCACTTTGTTGTTGTCTCTTTGTTGCTGTCTCCATGTACTTTCAAGTCTTAGACTTTAGCAATGAATACAAATTTCAATCTCATAATAATTTTATGAGTCACAAATGAGACTTGGATCCATGGTAGACATTAAAAGTATCGTTATAAACTGGAGCCTATAACATATTACATTTTTCTTGATTCACATATTCATATATTCATATTATAATGGAGAAGGAGACCTCATCCTCCACCACGTATTGGCCTTGTCTGTCCTTTTTTTATTGTACAGTTTTATTATATAATCGTTAAAGACAGAGGATACAGTTTGACAATATGCACTTCTACACCTCTCTGAGTTGACTTCTTTGGCGGTACTCCCAGGTTCCTCTGTATGCAAAGTTGGACACGAAGCCGAACTGCGTGTGCTGAATCGACTTGTATGCCTTTGAGCATACAGCCTTGTGCGTTTTCCTGTTTGACATGTATGTGACATCCACAATCACTTTTCACTTATGATCCTAACCATTTACTACAAACATATCCACACTAATGATTGGGATAACACGCTAATCACATATGTATGTACAGAGGATAATAAATTAAAAGAAATACAAATCTAACTCGCAATTAAACACGACATGATGATCCTGGGTGAGGTATAAATATCCCAAGGCTATAGAACTGGACAAGAGAATGTCTTCAGTTAATCAACAATTCAACAAAATAGAAATAGAAAGTAATATCATTAAATCTCCAATTACCCACATTGGTAACAAATGTTTATATTCACATTCAACACCATATGGCCCTGATACTCGACTAAATGCATACATATGTATGTACATATTACAAAGGGTACAGAAGAATGATTACGAAATACTCATTCATTGGCTTAAACTCAACAATTACAGAAGGGGTATCACTCAAACAAAAACAGAAAAGTAATAAAAGAAGAAGAAAAAAACTCACAGCGGGAAAGTCCTCAGCGAGAATCCAGACGCAAGCGTTGTACGCGCAGCTCATCCTCGACAGTCTGCCGTTCGACAGTTGTCAATATGTCGCCAGGGTCCACGTGCGGGCCTGAGAGCTTGATCGTTATTATCGACGCAGCGCACTCAGACGACAGAATCCCGTTTATCATTCCAGCGTCAGCCTCAAGGACCGACTTCTCAATGCTGCGTTTCTCAGAACTAGCTGTGCAATGCGCAAGGTAGGGGTCCTGTGATTTGGACCCCATACGCACAGGGTTCTTCTTGTCGACCATACGGTAAGCAAGCTGGTTTTTAAACACGTTCATGCGGTAAAGCTTCTCTTCGAAGGTACCACCGGCGATCATGCGATACACATAAACGGGCTTTTTCTGCCCAATGCGATATGCACGCCCGACTGCTTGCTCCTCCCATGTGGGATTGAACAGGAAGTCAAATATCACGATCCTATTCGCTGTCTGAATGTTAAAGCCGATACCACCAGCGTGAGTTGAAACAAAACACACATGGGTTGTGGGGTCGTTGTCGAAAATCCGAATTCGCTCAGGACGCCTGGCCGGGCCCACATTGCCGTCAATGAGGCAATAATTCCTCTGCGTCTTGTCCATAAACTCCGCCAGGTAATTCAATGCTAGAATGCTGGACGAAAACACCAGGACTTTGTCACCGAGTGCAATTGCCTGGTTCACAATCTCATTGAGTATGGTCACTCGACTGGACAGGCTGGGATTCAGCAAGTCTGGGACCCGGTTCAGCAGACTCTCCAGTTCACATGACATCAAACCTGAAAGAGCATTCTCTTGGGCGGGGATGCCGACACCAAGAGACGTACCGATTTCATCACTGCTAAGGCATGTTTGATTGTCCCGAGCGCGCTTGACATCTCGGCTTTCCAGCTGTGTCTTAAACAGGGCGGGGTGAATACAACACAGCTGCAGGAGATTCAGGAATGACAGGAGTTTCGTGCTCACAGACTGGACCTTTCCAAGTCTCAAGTCATCAACAAAAAGGTTGTACACGCCTTTTTGGAGCTCTGTCAACTCTAAGTAAATACAGAATTCGTGTTTCGGTGGCAATTCGTCTGTCAAAGTGGACATGTCCACTCGCTGCACCTTCGGCTCGATGATTCTGAGAAACAGCGCCTGGCGCTGGAGTGCCTCTCTTTGTTCCGCTCTGGTGCTTTCAATATGCGAGCCATTTTCGATCGGTTTTATGAATAGATCATTGAAATCAGCAAAGGGACCCAGGTAGTGGTGCGCTACCCACTCAACCAACCAATAGTAATCTTCCACACCATTGGATAACGGAGTTCCTGAAAGGGCAATCCTTTTCCTGGTGCGAAAACGGGATGTTGCTTCAGCAATTCGACTCTTTTGGTTGCGTAAATTCTGGGCTTCGTCGGCCACAACAATATTTGGGCTGTTCAGCAACCAAAACTTGATATTCTCATTGATCGATTGTTGTTCCTGGTCCTCATTTTGTTCCGTGTTGTTCTGAACAAGTTTGCGGAAGATTTGGTAGCTGATGATCAGTACACCACCCGCATCATTCCATGCACCAATCTCTTTATTTCGGCGAGAGCCCGAGTGTTTTGCCAATACGGGGCGGATCTGGCCGAGTTTGTTGTTTTCGGGAGACCACATCGCAAACTCATTGCACCAATTTTGAATCAGCGCTGCTGGGCACAGCAGCAGAGTTTTGGATTTTCGGAATTGGTCCGGAATCTGGTTCCGAACAGTCGGGTCTTGTGATGCCGCAGCAGCGGAAATTGTAGTGAGAAGGGATATCCTATCTAGGAGTTAGCTTAGTCCTGATAAATCGGCCAATATCACCATGATTATGACTTACACTTGCATCGACTTTCCCAACCCCATGGTGTGGGCAAGCAAACACCCTTCCTCTCTCTTGTTCTCGACAATTTCTCGGAACATGAACTGTATGCCAGAGATCTGGTGGGGTTTGACATGTTGTGCAATGTGTGAGTCCAGGTAGATTATGGGCTCCTGGAAAGAAACCGGCACCGCCGTAATTTCCTTATGAACATGTCCTTGGCCAAGGCGAGACTCAAGTAATGCCTGTTTTTTTTGTCGTTCCTGGCCTTCCTTTTGAGCCGGGTTCATCGTCATTCTCGCAACTGCCCTTTTCCGCCGGCGGCGCTGGCGTCGAATACGTATGTTTGTTTTGTCAGATTGGATACGCGACGGTGAAATCGACGATTCCTCGTATTCCTTCACAAGGTCATTCAAGCAATCCAGGAAAAAAGGGAAGCCATCTTCATCATTGTCTTCATGGACTGCCGAGAGTGTAACCTTGACTTGTTTTGGTTCAAATCCACCAGAAGGGACTCGGATGACATTGGCCCATGACACAAACAAGGTAGTCATTAGCATTATGGAATGACTCTCCTCGGGGTCCCTGCCCTCCATCACCGATGAATCATCAGACATATTTTTCAGCCCCTCTCGCGTTAGTTCTTGATAAACAGGGAGCATGTAAGTTCCGAGAAATTTCGAAAGTTGGTTGATCCGACTGTTCGGCAAACCTGTGAGGGCTTTCGCTATCACATAAATTCGATTTCCACCCTCTTCAATAGTATCCCACGTCATGGAAGAGACATCGTCAAAAACATGCACATCAGTTTCACTGCCGTCATCACTCGCCGAGTCCACAGACTCGTGTATCTTAGGGCGCATTGGGTCGATAAGATGGGTCTTTGTCTCCATATGGCTGTCTGCTTCACGCTCATTCGCGGGCAGCGCCACGTCCCGGTCAAACGGCAGAATTGTCATTGTCATCAGCGGCGAAGTAGGACTATCTTGGTGGACGCTATCTTTCTCCAAGCGGCGCCTCTTAGCGGCTGGGGGCTCGTAATTTTCTTCTTTGTAGAAAAGATGGCTGAGGTCCTCGTCTGAAGAGTAGTCATGGAAAGGTCCACTGCGATACGCTGCGCGAGGGTGTGGCTTCTTCTCGTCCTGCGCAATCTCGCCCTCTTCAAAGTCGTCTTCAGATGTTTTCAGTGATTCGTTATCCTCCATTTCTCCCGTGTCACGCACAGAATCCAAATCTGAACTCATATTCTCGTCTTCGGTGTCATGAATGCAATCTGAATCCGAACTCAGAGTCTCTTCGCCGTCTGAATTCACATTGGGCTTTTTTGGTCGTGGGTTGCGTGGAGGACGAGCAATTTTTGCCGGTGGGCTAGCTTTCTCAAGAACGGAAAGCCTCCATCGATCCAAGCAAATATCAATGACAGTGGGGTCTAAGCATGCACATGCTTGAAGTAAGGACGAACGCGAGGAGTGTTGTGCCTCGGCGAGTGCTTTGCGGAGGGCTTGAAACCGTTTCTCCAGGTGGACGAGCCGTGTCGAAATTTGGCTTTTCATGCTTGGAAACTTTTGGCCTCTGGCCCAAATTTGAAACCCATTAGGTTGCTCTTTCGGCAATCGAATTTCGACGAACTGGCTTTTTCGCGAATTAATGTATTCATCGACGATTTCATTGAATTCAGCATCTCCCAGGGTCCCCGACGTATCCGGGGAAGTGTCCAGGCGGAATTGCCTCTCATCTTCTTCCATTTCCTCACGAGTTTCTGTATCGTATTCACCCTCGGAGCTGGATTCTCCGAGAAGTGAGAGAACATCCGCATCGTTTGGGGGATAGGTTTCCATGAGATGGTCAAAAAAAGCTTCGTTGCCAAAGGTGGGATTAGGAGCAGGTTTTTGATGAGTTGAAGGTGGCTCCAGGAGAGAAGATAGGGGAGGTCGTTGGGTGATTGTGGTCTCCATCCGGCGAGGTTTCTTTCCCTCTGTTTGGGCCGGTGAAAGGGCGTTATGAAGAAGGTTGGGATTGGTGGCATCGTTAGGAGTAGTGGGTTTGAGAGGATTGTCAAGAGAGGTGTTACGATCAATGATGTCGAGAAGGAGTTCTGATGAAAGTTCATCTTCGCTGGAAAGTGCTTTGGGACCCTGCTGTCCCTTTTGCTGTTGCGCCTGGAACTTCGGCGACGATCGCCGTAGCCATTCTATGGCTTGCATGAGATATTGGCGATGAGCAATGGCTTTGATTCCCAACTCTTTCACATAATGGTCATCGAAACGAAGAAAAGCTGGCCCTGAGACCATGTTTTCCCGAAGGGAGCTTTCCAGGGCCATAAGATCTGGGCAAGGCAAATTACAGGACCATTGTCCTGGTTCGTCACGGCAGAGAAACGTGACAAGCTGATCGACCGTCCAGTCCTGAGGGTCTTCACTTGAAGACATATTTGCTTGGGGGCCTGTACTAAATTAGCTTGTCTGATGTGACTGGGCAAGAGACAAGCTTTGAATAAACACAGGTTTAACTTACCGTTTCAAGGCCCCCAATGCAACTGAGAGGCGAGGCCAGGCGGAATCAAGTGCGGGTTCAATTAGAAATGACAATAAATGATGAGCTAGTGATATGTCAAAACAGACTGAACGAGGAAGGGGGGTTGAAAGAAATGGTTTGGGTGAGAGTAGAAGAGAGAATAGAAGAAAGAAAAGAAAAGAAAAGAGGGGGAGGCCTCAACTATAAGAAAACACGTCCATAACCCTCCTCCTTCCCAATCTGTGTTCTATGTGAAGCTCTTTTTTTGTGCCAGTCTTTCGATGGGCGGTAAGCTATTTTAGGCCAGAACAGGGCCAATTATGCTCAAAATGGAAGGCGGGAGATCCAGGCGGTCTCACGGTCTCACGCTCGTGCTCGTATTTATGCCTCAGGTGTCGATAAATGCCCCGCCAATTACAAATCCCCAGAATTCCTCAGGTTGCCCCCGGAGCCTCGGTGAGGTTGGAATCTTTGCAAAGTCTACACAACTTGGGTCATTAAGTATTCTAGTAAATCAATTCCTGTTCACTAGCAATATGGCAGAATCAATCTATTCAAACTATCCGCCAGACCTGTCCCCAGCTCAACAAAAGTTTCTGGTCACATCTGTGAAAGACTGGGCTATTCAAAATGGCCTTACTGTTCGACCATCCCCGGCAATTGTCCCAACTGGGGCAGATACAAATGGGGTGTTGGCTACAAATGCGCCAGTGACATTGTTTCCCAGTCCGTTCCCGAAAGCTTGCTTCGAGGAAGCGACTGCTCTCCAAGAGATCTACAACGAACTTTATGCCATGATCACATGCAATGAAGAATGGCTAGGAAAGATCGTGGAAGGGTAGGGACATGTCTGCTCTGGTACGGTTCATTGCTAATAATTGGCTATTTACAGGCTCATTGAAGTTGATGACTTTGTCTCGAACTTGTGGAAGGTTCATCTAGACGTGCGAAAGGAGGGATATGTTCAAAACCTGTCACTGGGCCTCTTCCGATCCGATTATATGGCCCATGTTCTACCCACAGGTCTCCCGGCTCTAAAGCAGGTTGAATTCAACACGATCTCGTCCTCGTTTGGAGGACTTTCAGCTCTTGTACGACAAATGCACACCGAGCTTCTTTCCTCGCCGCCGGGTTCATCAATCAATTACCCACCTCATCCTCTGCTACAATCTGGGGTTCCTCCTGAGAACACCGCAGTGGAAACTCTCTCGGCGGGTTTGGCAGCAGCCCATGAGGCCTACGGAGTGTCCAAGTCTACCCCGGCCCTCCCTCTGTGTGTTCTCTTTATAGTCCAGGAGACAGAGCGGAATGTTTTTGATCAGCATGCGCTCTCGACACAGCTCAAGAAAGTTCACAACATTCCAGTCTTCCGTGTGGCCAGCGTTGATGTCTTGGATCAAACATCCATCCCCAGCTCAAACTCCTCGCGTCCGTTGTTGTACCAGCCCCCTCACTCTCCCGGCTCAACCTTCGAAGTAACAACTGTTTATCTTCGGGCTTACTATGCACCGGACGAGTACAAATCCAGCCGTGACTGGGAGGCCCGAACTCATTTGGAGCGCTCTGCAGCGATCAAGTGTCCCACGGTTCTCAATCAGCTGTCTGGCTGCAAGAAAGTCCAGCAGGTCTTAGCAGAGCCGGCAGGACCCGATCATCTTTCAAGCTTCTTGAAGGGCATTGAGACTAAGCTTATTGAAAGAGTTCGGGATACCTTCGCTCCGCAATATGACCTGTCGATCAACAGTCAAGGTCGCGATCTAGCCCTCAATCCAGATACTGCCCTGAACCATGTGCTCAAACCACAGCGTGAAGGGGGTGGCAACAATGTCTACAAATCCGATATTCCAGACTTTTTGCGGTCCATTCCAGAATCTGATTGGAGAGGCTGGGTGCTTATGGAACTCATCAACCCTGCAGCCAATGCCCAGAATGTTGCCTTACGGAATGATGGCGAGGTCATTCGAGGAGATGTCATCTCTGAACTTGGTGTTTATGGTACAATTCTTTGGGAGAATACTGGGAAGATTTTACACAATGAACAAGGCGGGTATCTGTTGAGAACTAAAGGGAAAGAGGTAAATGAAGGTGGCGTTGCCGCAGGATTTTCCAGTTTGGACAGTGCTCTTTTGTTCTAGGGAACGCATCTGACATTTACAATATCCACGATTCATTCATATTATATACATAGACGGATGTTCCAAATTGATAACAATTGCAAGAGCTCTGAATAATTCTACCATGTTATGACCATACATGTTTTGTATTGCATTGCAAAGTAATATCCACGGGGCACAAAGCGGTTATTCATCCTCAAGAAGACGCACAACTGCAGAGTGGCCTCTCCCACGGGCCCAGGCTAAATGCAGAGAAAAGTCTACGGAGATATAGGTCAAATCACCCAATGGTAATCTAATGTATCTTTCTTTCTCAACTTAATTACCATACCTCCACTACAGTTTTGCCCGGCAGCCTTCGAGACCAGATGGCCCGTCGTAGATCTCTGTCTCTACCAGTCGAGTGTTTATCTGGACAAACATATTAGTCAGTTCACTTGCAGTCGAAGACTTCCAACTGAAAAGCTGGGGCACATATGCAGACGTACGTGTTGTTTTCCAAGTTCATCAACGTTCTTCACCCCCAGAAGTCGCATGCATGTTTTGGTCTCGTCGGTCAAAACTATGCTCTGTCAGTAAATCACTTCACAGATGACCCCGGGTTTCGCTGATCATACTTTGCAATGTTCTCTTCACTCCGTCTACTCCTCCAGCGCCCAAGCCCCAGAGCGCAGCTCTTCCTATTCCAACGCCTCGTGCACCCAGACAAAGAGCCTTCACCACATCGGTTCCTCTCTTGATCCCGCCGTCGACCCATATCTCAATCTTGTCGAAGACCTCGGGGCAGTATTTCCGGATTTCGAGCAGGGTGTGGACAGCAGGAGGGGCCGTGTCGAGAGATCGACCACCGTGGTTTGAAAGAATGATTCCTCTGACTTGGGGCGTATATTGTGTGGCAATGTACGCATCCTCGTGGGTTTGAATGCCCTTCAGGACAACTGGAAGATCGGTGTGTTTTGCCAGCCATGCGAGGGTCTCTTTCCAGGTGAGAGTAGGATCCATTCCCTTGAATACTGGGTCTTCAACCGGGACAGTTGGCATCGTGTCATTGCTATCACCCTGGAATGGAGCCTCAGAACCGATGACGTTGCCGCTGCGTTCGTCATCCTCTCTTTTCCCGGTCACGGGGGAATCCAGTGTCAGAGCAATAAATTTAATGGCACTCAATTTGTTGATTCGAGCCAGCATCCGCTCACTCTTGGTGCGATCGTGCTGCACATACAGTTGCCAGCCAAATGCTTGGCCTGGGGCGGCACCCGCAACAATCTGTTCGGGCGTCATTGACGCACTATTGGAAATGATCTGCAAAGCACCGAAGCTGCGACATGCTTCTGCGATTCCAGCTTCCCCAGAAGGGTGCCCTAGCCGGGCCATAGCTGCTGGGGAAACATAAATTGGGATCGAGACAGGGTTGTCTAACAATTTAGTGTTTAGATCGCATTCCTTGCAATCGACAAAGACCTTTGGTCTCAATTGGATGGAGCGAAAGGCCTCGGTGTTCTTGTGCTTGCTGATCTTGTCGTCGGATGCCGAGTAATAATAGGCCCACGCCTTTTTATTCACTATTCTAGTGGCGGCATCTTCAATCTCATCCAAATTGAGCAATGTCTCAACTGACTTGTGTTCACTCATGTTTCCTATTTCCTTCTGAGTCAAAAGTGGGAAAAAGGCCGAGAGGCTGAGTAGGAAGACAGGGGTGCACAGCCGGATCCTTTTTCCTGATCGGGATTAGCGTCCAAGCCGTCAACGCCCAATTAGGAATTTAATATACGAGGGATTCCGTATACTACCGACTATGGAGGACTCCGTTTATATTAATATTGATATTGATATTAATATAGATTTGGAGGCTTTGGGGTAATGGCCTTGGAATAGTTATTCTATACAGCAAGATGAGACCAAATACTTGAGTTCAATTCTAACCTTCTGAATTCTTGGCCTCAGCAATTGGAATAGCCAGTTACTCTGTAGATGACGACATCTGGATGAATACACATGTGCATGGACACCTGGGCATGCACATGCTGTTTCAAGTCTTCTCCTTTTTTTCTCTTTTTCTCCAGATTTTTTCTTCTTTTATACAGGTCTGCTACATGGGGCTTGAATCTAGAATCCGTAACACTAGCCCTAGCCCAATCGCGATCTGGACGATTCGCGAGTAATTCCCCATGAAATCGACACCAATAAAAAGGCCAACCAAATTTTCCCCCTGAAGGGCTAAAATTAAACATGCGGACGTGTCCGTCGACCCCACCCCAGTCTAGATGCCGTTAAAACGGCCCCTGTCAGGCCCAATGGCCCGTGTTTCACTGTTTCACCTTTACTTCCCCTTCTTTTTTCTACCTTTTTTTTCCTTTCGGTTGTTACTCTTCTTCTATATACTACGTTCGCTTGTACCTTTTTTTCTTTCTTGCCAAATCTGTTGAGATCAGAACCGGCCAAGTTCCGGCTTCATTCACCTTCTTTTCTTCTTTTTTTTTTCTCTCTTTCATTTCTAACTTTGATTGTCTCGCAATGACCGACGGCCACAGTGCCCCTCCAGCTGATGCGCCGGCTCCGGCAGCGGCAGCAGACTGCACTCCTGCGCCAGTTCCCGCAGATGTACGCTCGCACGCCCACCATCAGCAGGCGGCACCGACCCATGAGAAGGAGCAGGTCTCCTCCATGGGCCGCATAACCCCTAGGCCAACATTCTTGGAACATCTGGCTACCTCGCGAGACTCGCAATTCCAGCTTGATCGACGCGATTCGAGCGAATTGGACCGGTACTTTGTAAGTCAATGTTATTGCGAGAGAATCTAGATAGGAGATGGACAGATGGGTAGAACCAGGGAATAGGGTAATAGATTGGGAGGCTAACATACATCTTCTTGGTCTAGCATGGCCCCCGAAACATGGAAAAGCATTCCAAGTGGCCTATCATGATGCGAATGCACGGCAGTGTCATGCCAAAAATGATCATGCCGCTTTTGACTGTCGCTGCCTGGTCGACCGCTATTACTGTCTTTTCGCGCCTGGTCCATAACCGTGAGTAGTCCCCAAGTGATGGATCAAGAAACAGATCATAATTACATACTAACTCTAACAAGTTGGTATCAACAATATTCTACTCACCGTGCTGGGTTTCGTGGTGGGTTTGGCTTTATCATTCCGCAGCTCAACTGCATATGAGAGGTATACTATTGCCTCATTCTTAGGTTTAACTCGAGCCAAATATTAACGCAGTTTGTGCTACAGATGGGCAGATGGGCGCAAATACTGGGCCCAGCTCATTCAAACGTCTCGCAACCTCTCACGTACAATTTGGATCAATACCGGCGAAAGAGAGGGTGAAGAAGGAAAAGATGATGTTTTGAGAAAACTGTACGCGATACCCTTAAGGGAGTATATCTTGCCTTTATTGATTCTAACTGGCTCAATCTAGCTCCGCCATGAACCTCATTTTGGCCTTTGCCGTCTCCCTCAAGCACAAACTCCGCTTCGAGCCCGATATCGCATATGAAGATCTGGCTGGCCTAGCTGGACATCTTGACACTTTTGCCCGTGATGCTCACGACCGCATGGTTGTCAACCCTCCGCCTAAATCGATTTGGAAATCCGCAGGAGAGTACCTTGGTGTATCCTTCGCCGAGTCAAACCCTCGGAAGTACATCAAGCGCTCCAAGAAGCCTCTTGGACATTTGCCCCTGGAGATCCTGAACCATCTGTCCGCGTATATCGATTCGTGTGTAGCCAACGGTACTCTGGTTTCAACTCTGCACCAGGGACAAGCTAGTAAGTCTTCAACCGGGTATCTCGTGGTGCTCCAACTCTAACCTAATAATAGTCACCATGCTCTCCACCTTGAATGAGGTCTTGACCGGCACAGAACGTGTCCTGGACACCCCCTTGCCTACTGCATACAGCATTGCCATCGCCCAGATTTCATGGATCTACATCCTAGTGCTTCCATTCCAGCTCTACAATGCCTTGGAGTGGATCACCATCCCAGCATCAATCGGTAAGAACCCACTGGATCATCTCTCTTACACAAGTACGAGAACAATCCTAACAATCCCCTACAGTGGCTGCCTATATCATCCTCGGCTTGGCTACAATCGGTAGTGAAATTGAGAACCCCTTCGGTCAAGATGTTAATGATCTTCCACTGGACACCTACTGTCGACAGATCGCCGTGGAAATAGATATCATGACTGCCACTCCCCGACCAAATGTTGATGACTTCATGTCGCGCCCCGACAACCTTGTTCTATTCCCTCTTAGCCAGTTGGGATACCCTGACTGGAAAGAGCGGAGCGTCGAGGATATCCGTGGCGCACTTCGAACCAAGATGGTCGTCAGCCCATCATCTGCATCTGCAACGTCAGAGGGATCTACAATTGTGGAAAGCACTCGCCCCAAGACCACTGCATCATCAGTCTGATCTTCCTTGCAAATTCGTCACCAAGGGAATACAAAAGGTAATCTTCTTGGCAGAAGATGAGAATTAATTATGCATTTAAATAAGCGGCATCAGATTGTTTGTGATATTTGACCAGCGTGTGAGTTATGGCGTTTTCATCTGAGTCAAGTTGACTCTGAATCGAACCACAAAAAAAGGGACTCCTTGCTTGTCTTGGAGTTCCGTAAATAGATTGGTAGTGGCTCCAAAATCGATTCCTCTTCTTCTTTATTACATACGAACTTTCCGAAAGTGCTATAGGTCCTCAGCTCGCCGATGTAGGCCAAGTGTCTGTGTCTTATTCCGTCCCAGGGAGCGACACAATTTCAACCTCAGGATACTCAATTGTTGCCAGATTCTCGGTATCAGACCAAGTCGATCTCGCCCCATTTGGAGCTGGCATCGTCGTCGCATGTATCGTGGGGGGGGTTACTGCAGCAGTCCTCCAGCCACACCCATACCATGTCACGCCACTGGTCCCACGCAGTATGCACGAACGCACGCGTGGATTGCGAGGAAAGTCGCATGGGCCACGCCATGACCCGAGGGCAATCATTTGACAATGAGTCAAATATATAGACTAGCCATAGTTCAAAATCGTTTCCTGTAGTACTTGCTTTGAAGCAGGAGTACAACCCCCAAGCCTAGGGGACGAACAAATCGGCCCCAGATCCGGCAACCAGAGCACCTAGAAAGTTTCCCTTGGCGCAAACCCTCCATGCAACATCACCAGAGTTCGACGAATTATTTCCGCCGCCAATCCATGAGCTCAGTGCGCTCACGACGACCGAGGAATCCTCGCGAGGAACGCGAATCCACACAATATCACGCTTCGTGGTTGGTGAGGATTCATTCTCAATTTTCAGGATGTCGATCGGAATGGCTGTTCCTGTCAGGCCGAGGAATTGCGATAATGCGGAGGAGAGGTAGGTTCGTGCGGAGAGAGGATCGAGGGGTTGTGGTGCACTTCCTGGTTGGGGGATACTAAGGTATCAAGGGTTAGTTTGATTTTCGAGAGGAAGTTCCTCTCTGAGAGCGAACGAAGAAAAGTCCATGGATAGCTTACAGCTTGAGCTTGAGGTATGTCCAGGGCGGGTTGCGCGACGTGAAATGGAGAGCTTTTGGCTTTGGCTCTGGCGCCTTGCGCTTCGTAGGTTCCGTTAAAGGAGAATTCGTGTCAATTTCCATATCGCCGTGTGTATTCTCTGTCATTCTTGCTGATTTTCTGGACTGTTCGGGGTGGTCGGAGGTTGGTGTTCGGCCGGAGCTCCGCCCAAAAAAAAAAGTGACGGGATTTTGCGTCACGGGATCAAAGAATAATCGAGATGTGTCAAAAACATGAGCCAGCGAGTGGGAACAAACAGGCTCTAGACTCGAATTTCATACTATGAGTTTCGTGTCTCCACAGCGGCCTTTAATATTTGTATCGCATGCTGCAAGTATGCTTCTTCGCCGTTGTCTCCGATCTCCAGATCGGCAACACACAACGTTTTCTCTCGTGATTTCGCCCCACGAATAACCTGAACGCTCGATTTTGGAACTTTGAAGATCTAATAAATGGTTAGACAAAAAGTTGGGACTTTATTCCATAGACAAGACGGGGAGTAAGAAAGCATATCCAGGGTAATTCTAACCTCTGCGACGACAAGTGACACTGCAATATTAGCTGCCCCATCGCGTGGAACAGCAGCCACGGAAATCTCGACTTTATCAATTCCCACGTTTATAATACCTGTACGGCGAGCAGAGGAGTTGGGCTTCACGTAACAAGGGATGTGGAGGTTGAACATTTTGCGCGAACCCGGGGCTTTGCTTGCAACGAGGCGAAGAAAAGAATATGAGCAGGACATTTCTAGTTGCGGTCAAGTCAATATTACGTATAATTGTGGAAGTGGAATGTAGAGATATTTGAGTAAAATCGATTGAAGTAAACTAAAAAGTAATTGATAAAAGCGGCCAAGACGATCATAGTTTAGCCCTAAAATGGGCGAACATCCCTCTCGGAAATCCACGGGAAACAACATCCCATACGAAATCAAAAAACGAAAAATGAAAGCAGCAGAAATATGATCTTGTAGATCATGAGTTGCATCTTGAGCTCCGATTAAACGTGTTCAGCGTGACGCTCATTCTCATCAGCCATCGCGTGCTTCTCTGAAACACCAACGGTTCCGGGGGCTGCGACATAATCTTGGGTGACCTGGTAAAGCTCGGGGCAGATCGCATCTTTGCGCATGAGGATATACCTCTTAATCCACCACGGGAGAACCTTAGTGAGCTGGTATTTGGCATGAGTTCGGGTCGGGACGCCAAACACATAGTCCAACTCCTCGAGCGAGCGCTGCATGGTTTCTGGCATGAAGAAGAATATCATAGCAAATGCAATGAGATTTAATCCGGCATAGAATCCAAAGGCACCCTGCGGGGTAAATGCTCGCAACATCCATGGGAAAGTCAGCGAGATAACAGAAGCCCAGAAGTTGTTGGTTGCAACCGCCCAAGCCATTCCAACTTCACGGTGAGACAACGGAAACACCTCGGCAGAGTAGGTGAACGGAACAGGTCCTTCACCGGGGGAATAGAATGCATCGAAGAGGTAGACGAAGAATGCGATCAAGCCAATGTGCGCGTTACTGCTTGTGGGGATCCAGAAACAGAACCCGGCTGCGAGAAGTGTCCAACACATCTGTGGGAAGGTGAAAAGTAGCAACCCTCGTCTGCCAAAGGTATCAATCGTCCACACGGCGGGCCAGGCGAACACAAAATTGATGAGACCGAACCCGAATGATGCAAGAAGTGCTTCGATGTTGGAAGCGCCGGCCAGTTGAAAGATAGTTGAGGAGTAGAACGAGATGATATTGACTAGAAATCAAGTATATTGTTAGTTCAATTCTTCCCATGTCTCAAGTTTTGTACTTACTTCCGCACATCTGCTGGGCGATCATCACAATGCCCGATGCTTGAACGGCACGACGCAGACGGGGAACCGTAAACAATTCCACAAAACGAACGAACATGTTGTCACTCTTCGAGAAACCCGACTCTGTAATCAAATGCTTCTCCATCTCCAGCTGGGCATGAATCCGATACAGGTCCCTGGCAGCCTGTAGAGGGCTATTGCGCAGTTTGAGAAGAGACGCAAAGGCTTTCTTGTGGTTTTTTTTGGTCATCAGCCATCGTGGAGACTCGGGGCAAAACCAGATGCCAAGAAGCAATGGCACAGCTGGAATAAAGGCAGAGCCTAGCTGTAGTCGCCAAGAAATATGACCGGTGTTAGCCACAATGAGGTTCGCGCACGTTCCGAGGAAGATTCCAAAGGCCGTCCAAAGCTGCCATGACATGACTAGGCCACCACGGATATTTGTAGGTGCGTTTTCTATTGAATCATTAGTTTTATGATACTCGTAACTATGTGGGATATATAGATCAAAAGCACATACCAGCCGAGTAAACCGGGACGGTGACTTCCTTGAGACCCATGCCAATTCCAAGGAGAATACGACAGGCAACGAGCTGACCCCAATGCTGAGTGAGACTGGAGCCCAGGGGGATAGGAGACTGAAGATTGCGGCCAGGAAGATTGTGCCACGACGGCCGAGAATATGATTCAGGGGATCAGAAAGCCAAGCAACACTGTATGGTGTTAGATGCGTGAGAAGAGTGCTTGAATGTAGAACAAGTATATTACTCACAGTAGACAGATCGTGATGTATGGGGTGGCATTGATAAAACCGACAATCCACTGGTTACGCTTGCAAGTCTCCGGATCAGGACATTGAGGCGAGTTATTCGGAATGCCAAATTGGACATCAAAGGTCAGATTAGCACCGTTCGAACCTATGAGAATCGTTAGTCAAGACGAGACCTGAATGCTTGAACGAGTATCATTCTGACCAGTCTGATCCCAGCCCTGAATAGCTGCCGAAATCGAGTTTAGAACGACGGTGTAATACAACGCAAATGGTTGTTTCCAGCGCCGAGTGTGCTCCTCGTAGAGAACACGGCGGTCATCATCATCGAGTTCAGAGATTCCTTCAATTCCCGCTGGGGACTGAGCTACCATAGCACCTTTCTTCAAGAGGGGTAAGATATCCTCAAGGTCGTATTCGGTAGCATACGCGGTCACATTCGCCATAAGCTGACCGTTGGGGATTCCGGCCAGGGGATTTTTGATTCTATTGCGTGTCAGTTTGACCTGAAGTCAAAGACAAGTCACCTCAACTAGCACAGAGTCGTGTGCGTTACTTACTCCCCAGTGACATTCTCAGTCATTCTAGTGGACGAGTCAGTATCAGAGCTTGGAATGAAATGATGGTCATTGTGTGGTTACATACCCCCCAACCGCGTCATTTCCGATTGGATCGGGCATTTTTATGCTTGGCAGCTTTCCTTTGATGAAGAAAAGTGAAGCAGAAAGACTGTGGTTGAATGTTCTTGTGAAAGTTGATGGAATGTAGTCAAACTCTAAATATGGCTCAGAGGTTGAGAAGGTGAAGGAGAGAAAGTTACGATGGATGAGAAGCAAACGGAAAGAGCTTTAAAAACAAAATAAGATGGCAGTCAAAACAGGAAAAAAACACGTTTGGGATTATGTATGCGCTTATGTGATTTTACGTATGCTAGTACCTAGGTAAGTGATTGGAGAAATTTGTCAGACAACCAAAAACCTGTCGATTGGCAGCCATGTTGGCCCATTGTGTGAGTGTGCAGGTGCTACAGATATAAGAATCCATCATCCCCAGCGCCTGGCTCCCATTTACCACTGGGCCTATATTCGGAGCACACTTAGGGTTGTTTCTCGGATCGGTGCGGGGATACAACACCTTTGGACAGAGCACCAAAGCTTATCTGAATACAGCCTTGAGGATGGAGTTTTTGGGTGCGAGCACTGTCGATGACTTCGAGGTAAAGGGTTTCAGCATATACAGTCAGCAGAGAAACACAAAAGGTATCTGGAGGATTACTCAAGGTATGAGAACGTTGCACCACTTTAGAGGAGCGTGGTATAAAAGCATATCCCTAGGCAAGAGTCCCCGCAATTTCCAAGGCTATCATATGGCCCACTTAGTGCATTGCTTCTGTGCTAAAAGGTATACTGTTGCATCCTTCTAATGGTGAGAGACAGTATCTGCAAGGGTTCAGGGTCCTGCTGAGTATATGGTTGGCCGGGAGAATGCATGGTTGTATTGGCATATCTTTGTCCAATAACGGGCAGGTCAGCATGCATATTCAGCCGCCATTTAATTCCCGGACAGCTGTAAATCTATGTCACTTTGTCTCAAATGACCTATTAAGACCATACCTAGGTTGTGCTACACCGTGGACTGAACCCAAGGCTGTGGTGCATTGTTCCACAGCAGTTCCTACACTCCTTGCTTTGGGTTTATACTAGGTACCTCCCCATCATTACTTCTAGGCCCTCATTTGGTGCACGTACTCTTTTGCTACCAGAGGCTGTTGCTCTGGAGACTCAGTATTAGTAGTAATCCAACTTCGCCCAGACATACCTAGGTAGGTATCAAGCGGGACAGTAAGACTAGCACATATGTCAGGTATTCATGTCAAAATGTCAAAAAAGTAACCCAAACTAATATTTCAAGTATTAGGGAATGGAGTATACATGTGCTCCGCGGGCATTAAAGATCATGTCCAGGTTTATACTCTTCGGTATTCTTTTATCATTTCCATTTTGGTCGCAATGTTTGGCAATGACAACCATTATATCTATCAAGAATCTCAGATCAACCGGATACATGAGCCTGGTATTCGAAACAGAGTCGTGAGCTTGTGTCACATGTTATAAATGCGTCTGGTGCTCGCTCAGGAAACTCCACTTTCTCCTGATAATGAATCCGGGGCATCAACAAACTACCCGAAGGGCTGTCTAGATATATTTGATATTCTTCAAGAAATGACAGCATGCACTGCTGAAGATATCCATTTATATCAGAATTACATTCTACAAGTCTGGATTTTGGGTGCAATTGTAAAAGGGCAAATAACCAAACGGAAAATTAGCGGGCAAAGCACAATTTTTGCTGTGGGGCTGAATCTTTAGATCGGGGTTCTTCGGTCCATCAATTCACATGTGCCAGGCGTACTCCGTACAATCAAACCCGTTAAAAAGTACCTACATACATGGTAAGGATCGTCGGAGAGTAAGTCCTTGGGAATTGACGGGGGGTAAAGAAGTGAAGGTCCTGCCCACCTGGCAGGTGCCCAGGTGGGCAGCATTGTTAAGTTATGTTTGGAATATTCCCTTTTTTTGTATTATGTAATCTCGTTTGAGGTGTGTTTTAGGTAAACCTTGGAAAGCAGCGGGAAAAGGGCGGGATACCGAGTTAAGCCAATGAGATTAATACAGCACGTGGGCGGTAGGCCTAAATTGGAAACAACCTTGGAACTTTGCAAAGCAAGTTCCAAGGTTCGCAGCATCGAGATGCGCTATGCCTAATTAGGAGCCAGCCTTGGCACCCTTTACTATGGTGAAATATCCCGACGTAAATTCTTCCAAAGTGATCGGGTTTACAAAGAAGTGGAGTACATTCTAACGGGGTTTGACTTTACTCCGTATATACGATTCCAATACTCCGTATTCGTTGTCACTACAAATGAGTCGGAGTTAAATCGCAAGTGCATGAATAGTGCGAAAGCAAAGTGGAGAACGGAAGGACAAAAAAAAGCCTTCCAAGGCTGTGACCCCACATCCTCGTGGGAATCGGTGGGATTGTATTTCCACATTAAAGTAGTGATTAGTTACATACTATTTGATATCATTTTGTTCCTTCGGAATTACTATTAGTCTTGAGTTATTATCGCTCTATCCATGGAAGATTGAAAGTCCAAATCTCAGTAATGTAAGCCTCCGCTCATGCCTCGGCTCACCCCTCGGGCTCCCCGTGATCACCTGGCATCGGTCTCCGTCGAGTACTCCGTATACACGGGATCAATTTGTTTAACTTTCCACTAACCTGCAGTCTTGCGTATCGAAAACGAGCCAGGGGTCGCCCCCTCTCTTTAACCTCTCATAAGCCTCGCCTGGGCAGATCACAGATCCAAAGACACAGTGGGGCCGAAGATGGAACTAGGGGGGCTCTGGATATACCCTATCACTGTCCATCTCCTCACCAAAACCCTCGGCCGTGTTACCATTTTTGATATGGCGTGGAGCCTCGACTCGTGGGCTTGGTTTTAGAGCTCATCTTGTGTAAGGCCGTTTGTTCTTTCCAAGGTTTACCTTCGTATGCATTAAACTCTGTTTGTTCCCGAAACTTCAAATGTTCCTTTGATCTACTACTTATGGTTCTATAATGGGAATAAGAGGTCTCGACCATCCCTGTACATTATATCTCCTGCATATGTCTAGCGGGGTGTTTTATCTTTCCTTGATCTACGTATGTACACAATATATTCGTCTAATTTGGCTCTCTTCACTCTCTTCATTCCTTGATCTTCAACTTTCCCCATTGCTGGCTTGGGTTATGGCGATTCCACTTGCCTAGACCCGCTTACCTATTCTGCTTTCATTTGCACATCGATACCCCCAAAATATAATATTTTCTTCATCCTTGCACAGATAAGATTATGAGATTCCCTCCACCAGCCATCGCGGAGACATGGCCAACCCCAAACTATATCGACCCTCCCACGCGCGGGCACGGCGTCCTCATTGTGAACGTCGTCTGTCTAGCCTTGGCCTTCCTAATCGTCTCCCTCCGTCTATACACCAGGATTTGGATCACATGCAGCGCCGGTGTCGACGATGTGCTTATTGTCGTCGGTCTGGTCTTTGCCATCGCAATGGCAGTCGTCACCTCAATCGCCACTGAAGACTGGGGCATGAACCGCCATATCTGGGATATTGAAACGGATCGATTCGTCGCTGTCCGGAAGCTGAACCTCTGCTTCCAACTATTGTTCTTGGTATCGTCCTGCTTCATCAAGATCTCTCTGCTGTGCTTCTGTCGACGACTCATCGGGAAGGTCAACTTTGCGCTGTATAACTGGGCGTTTATTCTGTCCATCATTTTCGTTGCGGGTTCTAGTTTGCTGTTCGCTGTCATCAGCATCTTTCAGTGCTCGTGAGTTGGTCATCTTGTGTAATGATCTCGATTTGTTGCTAATGTACCCCTATAGACCTATCCACGCATACTGGCAAGTTAACACTGAGTCATACCACTGCATGGATGATGGCGCGATTGTCTTCTCCGCCAGTGTTATCAATATATTTACCGATATACTGGTCACAGCTCTGCCAATGCCATTAATCTGGAGTCTGAACCTCCCCGCTCGTCAACGACTTGCCGTTATCTCCATCTTCGGCCTCGGTGTTGTGGTGAACGTAGCCGGCTGTGTACGAACCGTATACGTGTGGAAGAGTATGGTGACCGGCTATGATGGGACCTGGGATGGATGGCCGGGGCTGATCACTGCCGCAGTGGAACTCAGCCTGGGATTGGTAAGAGACCCAACACTCTCACTACTAGTGACGGTCGATGCTAATAACCAACAGATCTGTTCTTCAGCACCAGCCCTCCGACCCCTCATTGCAGCCTTCCTACCTCGCCTTCTCGGCTCAACCCGCAACATTGGCTCCTCCTACAGCCAACGGACTCGCACCCACAGGCACTGGTATTCAACTGGTCGCTCTCGGACATCCCGTCTTGTTGCCGATGACTCACACCCTTCCGGCTACACCAGCGATCGAGTTGAGATTATGCGCACCGTCGAGATGGAGAGCTGGACTGAGTCACGACCCGCGGGCCATGATAAGATGGGCCACGGTTATGATATCACATTTGATAACCACGGTCGTGCCCTCAACCCTGAGGATAGCATTGATATGAAGATGGGCATGGTTTATGCCTCTCCTACGAGTTCTAGCTCCTCTGCATCTGGGCCAAACGACAAGCATTCTCATTTCGACGATCGGCAGTCCCGTTAACCGCACTGTCTCGGTACATTTATTTCTTTTCTTTTTTTATGAACATTTATGTCACTTTAGCCTGGATGATTTTATTGTGCTAGAACGGATACTTCACACAAACAACGATACACCTTGACACTACCATGACTCTAATTATGACTTGTTTAACAGGGGAACAATAACTCGCCACAAGAATTTCAACATGAAGCCACTTGCCTCCTAGTTATAGCGTGTAGAAGGTGGTCTGTCTAATACAATATAGATACAGTCGATGTAGATAAACCACGATCTCGAGTGTCATTTTCCAGGTAGTTATCAGCCTCAATCAACCCCAGGATTTAACATTGGGGCGGTGTAGATTCAAGATGCTGTGCTCTTGCCATTGCGGGTTAATTGGATGGAAAGGTACATACATAGTCGCGGAACTAGCATGTTGGTGTACA